TACATACATTCTCACACATCCACATCACCATTTAAAAGGAAAACACATTCATTTGCATTTTCTTTATCAGTAAAACATATTTTGATTGCTTTAATCTTCATGTTGTATCAGTTTTGGGCAAAGTTCTTGAGAAAGACAGCAAACAATGGGGGCTCGTCCGAGATATGAATGTGACAACTTTTACAGATCAACTTGGAGCAGAAGACGAAATACAGTAGTTGAAGATTGTTGGTCAATCTATTTCTAGATCACACCCTAAAATAAGATGATGTCAGGAGGGGATTGGTTCTGAATACATATGGTAAATTTAATTAATTAACCATGTCTCTGGTTTTATGACCAAATAATTGTGAAACAGGTGTGCAAAAAAAAGTAGAAAACAAATCTACTTGACCAATCAGTCATGGACAGACATGGCAGCCATAACAGCAGAGAAGATGTGCTACGGAAGCTCGAAAGGTCCAAACGGGAGAATTATGTTTTTGTGACTGGATAGAAATTTGATCAACTGCGCAGCTCTAATAAGAAGTCTCCTTTGAAGGAAACATTGCCGTCATGTTCTACTAGTGATCACTTAAATACAGGAGCCATTTCTAAGAACATTGTCAAAAACAGGGCCACCAGTTGGACTGATTTACGTTTAGTAATCAGAATGCAAAAACAGTGAAAACAGGACAAGTTCAGCTAATAATGACTCAGCATTTGTCTGGAGAAACCAAAACCAGAAAAGGTTTAATCTTGACTGATATCACCATGGAACAATTAACCCTTCAGATGGTCACAGGGGGTCTGGCCTCACACAAACATTCCTCATCTGATTAAACCCACGTGACTGCAAGGTTCTCCTTACAGACTGCATATCCTGGCAACCCTCACATACGTGCATAAAGCCTAAAAGACATGCTTAATATTTCAGCAGGCGGCTGCACCTTTATTTACTCACACACTTGCCTGGCATCTCTTTTGCCTCGCGCAGAGATAAGAAATGGCCTGATGGACTTTGGCTCGAAGCCTGGATGAGATGAAATGATCCTTTCTTGCAGTAAATGCAAATACACAGACTTAGGAGGACACTCTAGTAGGAAAGGCTGGTATTCTCACGGGTGACTGAGGCAGATTCTCAATTCTGCCGTCACGAAACCCTCTCAGGGTGAGTGCTGTTTGGGATTAACGTGGGGGGAAATAAAAAGGGACTGCAGCCAGGCTCACGTGAGGAGCAGCTCAGGCGGGCCGTTTTGATTGGACGCCAGTTAGTGCGCGTGCTTCATCACAGAGTGAATTAGATCTAGCCATCAGCTGACTCACGGGGCCTTCGTCTTCCACACCATAGAAGAAAATGCAGTCTCATCACATTAAAGGGCTGTCCTATAATAAATCCACCGCTGTTGTATTGATTCCAAGTTAAATCTCATTAATATAAAAGAGAAAGTGTTCATCACAATTACTGATAATCCGGTATTCATCTGTGTGGTTTTATACGTGTAAAGTGAACTATTTAAGGGGTTTTTGTACCATAAAGTTTTACTTAAGGAACAAAACTACTACTACTGGACTGGCAGACTGGGGTGGTGGTCCCCTTATTTAAAAAGGGGGACCGCAGGGTGTGTTCCAACTACGGGGGGATCACACTCCTGAGCCTTCCTGGTAAGGTCTATTCAGGGGTTCTGGAGAGGAGGGTCCGTCGGATTGTTGAACCTCAGATTCAGGAGGAGCAATGTGGTTTTCGTCCTGGCCGTGGAACAGTGGACCAGCTCTATACCCTTAGGGGGATCCTGGAAGGTGCGTGGGAATTTGCCCAACCAGTCTACACGTGTTTTGTGGATTTGGAGAAGGCGTTTGACCGCGTCCCTCGGGGGGCCCTGTGGGGGGTACTCCGGGAGTATAGGGGTACCAGACCCTCTGATACGGGCTGTTAGGTTCCTGTATGACCGGTGTCAGAGCTTAGTCTGTATTGCCGGCAGTAAGTCTGGCTCGTTCCCAGTGAGAGTTGGACTCCGCCAAGGCTGCCCTTTGTCACCGATTCTGTTCATAACCTTTATGGACAGGATTTCTAGGTGCAGCCAAGGTGTGGAGGGCATCCGTTTTGGTGGCTTGAGGATCGGGTCCCTGCTTTTTGCAGATGATGTGGTCCTGTTGGCTTCATCAGAACGTGGTCTTCAGCTTTCGCTGGAGCAGTTTGCAGCCGAGTGTGAAGCAGCTGGGATGAGAATCAGCTCCTCTAAATCTGAGAACATGTTCTTGATTCAGAAAAGGGTAGAATGCCTTCTCTGGGTCAGGGATAAGGTCCTGCCCCAAGTGGAGGAGTTTAAGTATCTCGGGGTCTTGTTCACGAGTGAGGGAAAACTGGAGCGTGAGATCGATAGGCGGATTGGTGCTGCATCTGCAGTGATGCGGGCGTTGTACCGGTCTGTCGTGGTGAATAGAGCTGAGTCAGAAGGCGAAGCTCTCGATTTACCGGTCGATCTACGTTCCTACCCTCACCTATGGTCATGAGCTTTGGGTAGTGACCGAAAGAACGAGATTGCGGATACAAGCGGCCAAAATGAGTTTTCTCCAAAGAGTGACTGGGCTCTCCCTTAGAGATAGGGTGAGAAGTTCAGTCATTCGGGAGGGGCTCGGAGTAGACCCGCTGTTCCTCCACATCAAGAGGAGCCAGTTGAGGTGGCTCGGGCATCTGGTCAGGATGGCTCCTGGACACCTCCCTGGTGAGGTTTTCCGGGCACGTCCAACCGGGAGGAGACCTAAAGGTAGACCCAGGACACGGTGGAGGGACTATGTCTCTCACCTGGCCAGGGAACGCCTTGGGATTCCCCCAGAGGAGCTGGCCCAAGTGGTTGGGGAGAGGGAAGTCTGGGCCTCTCGCCTTAAGCCGGGCGTACACTGTGCGACTTTTTCACTTTTTTGAGCCGATTTTCCAGTCGTGCGAGAATCCACGACATCGGGGCGAGTTTTGCGCCGAGCGTCGTGTAGTGTACAGGGGGTTACGAGAGGCGATTAACACCACGTGACCAGCCGCCGATCAGCAGTCGTGAGGTCGCAGGGACTTCTGGAGTGTTTAATATTTCGCTCGTCCCTCGTGAGGGTATCGCACTGTTGAAGCGGCGCTGCGAGCAGCTACGATCCAAAAAAGTATCAGAACCGCTCACGGCGCATGCGCGCGCAATCCTGCATCAACGCCGGTCGCCCGCTATTTCTCTAATAACACACGTTGTTCGTTTTTGTTTCTACACGTTTTTTTTACTCACAAAGATTGTCAAGAAAGCGTGTTTGTCGTGTTCGTGTGAAATTAAACTGATCACAAAACGCAGATTCACTTTCTTTATTTCGTTTTCCTCATCCAACCCCCATAAATCCCTGTGTGTCCTGCAGCACTCCCGAAGGACATCAGGCAAGACAAAAAAGTCTGACGTGTTGAGTAAAAACGGCTATTTTTAGCACATTTTTAGGGCCGACGTGTTGCTACCAGACGTACAGTGTGAGCAGTCAGGTCGCATGCGAGAACTGGGTCGTGCAGTGTGAGCACATGACTCGTGAGATCTGCTCTGCGAGGAAGTCGTACAGTTTGAGCTGAAGCTGAACGCTGCGAGTGAAAAAGTCGCACAGTGTACGCCCGGCTTTAGGCTACTGCCCCCACGACCCGACTCCGGATAAGCAGATGAAAATGGATGGATGGAACTACTACAAGTATAATCACACAGCTGTCACAGATGCTAGTACACATTCTGTAGTTGGTTAGCTTCTAATCTGTCAGCAATGACAAAAACATCATGCTGAAGTCGGTTTCAGATTTGGCTAAAGAGTGATCACTCTGAAATGTTTCCACTGATGCCAGTTTAACCAGTTCTAGGTCACCAACTACAGTTCCTACCTGGACTTTACTCTTAAAGGAAAGTCTTTAATACACAGTTTGTGATTCATGAAGCCTTCGTTAAACTGGGGCGTTAAAGAAATTTACATGATAGTGATTTTTGTTAGCTTGGTAAGCCATACTATATAGGCAAATATATATGGAGACTCTATGGTTGTTTTTCAGGCGGTCTCTGCACACAATTGGACAATGCTAGGCCCAAACAGAGCAACAAACAACTTGACATATTCATAGCGACGAATATGAGTCGACGGGGTAGCCCGCTGTACATCGTTTTTCTAAATAAAGGACTAAATTTTCTATCTCCTCGTGTCTCAAAAACAATCCCAAGTCTAAATCATCCAAACTTGATGCCAAATTGTTGTTTCTGAGTCGACGCCATCTTTGTAGTTTTTTACCATTGCAGCTCTGGTGCTTAACTCGCCCAACGTTTCTCTATAAAAGTAGAGCGCTGTGATTGGCTGGATCCAAAACTGTTTGGGTAGACCTGCTGAGGCTACAATGGCGCATGGCTAGACCCACCTAGATTTCTAGGTTAGTTTATTATTTTGTGTTGTTATTATCCAGTCCCATTAGTCGTCACACTCTGGTGTGTGAAATGTGTTCTCTGTATTTGACACATCCCCTGGAGGAGCAGTACCACTAGGCCACTGAGCTGCTAATATCTAGAGCACTTTAAATCTGTTCCTGCAAAAACTTCACCAGGACTAAATATGTTCACACTGAAAATAAAATGTTGAAACTGGAGTTTGTGAAACATTAATCCTGAATGTTATGAGAAAATAGATATTTACTGATTTTGTTTTTCACTGGACCACATTAGAACCGGTCCGATAATAAAACTAAACTGTTCAAACCTAGCTGGACTTGATTATTTGACCATAAAAGCATGTTGCTATTCGTCCGGGTTTAAACAATCTAAGTATTTTAGTTCAACTAGAGCTCATGCAGATGGTTTTACTTGAATTACCCTTTGGCCAAAGTTCTAGTCAGAGGCTAACTTCAGCATCCTGAGAATTCCCAGACTTCCTAAATTCAAATGCCACCAGAAAAGAAATGTAAATGCCATTATTCCATAGATGGTGACGTTTGTCTGACATAAGGAGACAGAACAGGGACATGAGGAGCTTACCTTTGAGCAGTAGAGCATCCACACTTCATACAGCCTCTCCTTGGAAGCCATGGTGCCCAATGAGAGGCACCTTTAGGCTGCGGTGTCCACTGAGGTCACTCCCGTGGCTGCTTCATGGTTGTCCCTTGTGTTTACTCAACACATGACTGTTCCAGCTAAAACTCCCCCAAAACAAGGGTGTAATGTGTGGTAGAGGCACCAAAACCTTTCCGAGATTTATTCCATGCCAAAGGAGAGCTGAGTAATTCCTCTGGAAAACTTAGGCACTGGGGCCTCCAACTTCTTCTTCTTCTTTGGAGGTATTTCCAGCTGTGTTGGCCCTGTGAAAGATGACAACACAGACAAGGCGGGTCACAGAGAGACAAAATACCTCCAGAGATTTTACTTTCGGTGCATTTCGAGCTGTTCCGCTGGCTCCAGCTGTGGAAAACACCCATGAATAATGTCTGGTTTCTCTCCTGACAGCTACGACCACCTCAGTTCCTCTCGGCCAACGCTGCTGAGACTAGACTTTACCTGGATGGGCTAGCTTAATGCTAGCTGTCAGAAAAAGCCTATTTTATATTTTTGCCCCCTTTTCCTCCTCCACTTCAGACAGAAACGGCTCGCCCGCCCAGCTACGGAAAGCTCAAACAATTAAATAAAAACGGGAGAAAACCGAAATTTATTTCAGAAATAATGTTCAAATCGTTAACAAGTTGAGGACTTCTTACCTATGCAACGAGGACAGCCGCTGTCACTGCTCCCTCCGTCCGTTCCGCGTCCACAGTTGTTGTTGCTGTGGCAAGCTCGCGACAGCGGCCACGCGCTTCCAGAGGACACTTCCTGTCAGTTCAGATGGAGTCATTTCGAAATAAAAGTGGCAAATTAGGAAAACACTAAAAAACCCGAATAACGTTTTTTCCTCTTGTTTTGCTTATCAAACACAAAATTCTACAAAATTTTAACGAATTAATTTTTGAATTAAGTTAAAGGTGATTTTATGTTTTGTGGGTGAAAAATGTGAGAGAAAACGTAACATTTTTGTAAATGATAAATCATTTAGTAACCAAACTTGATGCGTTAATAATTCAGCCTTTATTTTAAAAGTAAAAATAAAAACTGTTAGTGAAAAAAAAGGATTCATTGATTCATATCATAATGCTTAATACATTTATACTGCACAAAATGCACAACCCAGTATTTATTTCAGTTTTAATGGCCTAGCACATTTGATTTCTTCAGCTTGAATAAAGCTTTATTATGATGTTTTAAATGGACTTATTTTTCATATGATGGGCCGGCTTTTAATTTGGTGAACCGGATATTATCGACACCGCAGCAACTGGAACAAATGTCCCCCTGGTTTCACTAACCAATTTTGCATCAATTTACGTTATTTTAGCTTAGTTCCTCTATATACGTTTTATAAACACCAATTTGCTTAAATGTGGACATTTTTAATTTTGATCATTTTCTATTTTCTACATGCGACACTGGTGTCTGCTTTGCGTTATCGATGTGGATCTTTATGGTTGGGGTCAGATTAGGGAATGGGAGCGTGCTTTTACTGTCATCTGGTGGAGTAACGTGACTGCATTTTTAAATTATGTGTATATGAATTGTTTTTATATCCACAAGAGGCGGATTCGAACCACGAAACCGGAAAATTTATAAAAAAAAATTATATTTACAGACATATATTTACAATAGGTAAGTACCACTGCTCATTAAATGTTTTATTTATAGGTACTCTGGGATACATTTATGATTTTCTTCCATTTCAAAGGCAGCTGGTTATTTACAGTAACTGAAAAACATTTTATTTCACCACAAAGTCAAAAAATCAAACCAAAAAACGATTAAATCACGAGATGACAACGACAAAGAGAGTTTTCTGTTTAACAGGGATATAATTACCACTGACAAAAAACACAATTCCTCTTTAACACTCGAGGCTGAAAGGAAGATTGGAAATAAAAAGGCATTTATGTCGATATATGGCATCATTATGTTTATATAAGGCTTATACAGCTACCATATTTGATATGCACTGTAAGGTCACAGTTCTACACAGCACACCTAATAATAGTTACAATTCTAAATGTAGGCTTGAATAAAAAATAAAGGCATTTTTGGATAAGTGGTCAGAGAGCACAGCAGAAACACTTCATGTATCACAGGTGATCAGAGAGGGGAGAGTGGTGTTTACTGCTACTTTACAGTAACAACATACCATTTTACAGCCTGTGGCTCCTTTCCTCTCAAATTACAGTTTTAAAGCTACTAACACAAGGAAAAGTACAAGTTTTTACACATAGTCTTTCAACTTTTACAAAGGTGTGTTGAAAATCCCATTGTTACGTACCTGGAGTTTGTAATTCACAGTCTAAAAAACATAAATGCACCTACATGAGAATCCTAGGAAAGCTTTAATTGTGAAAAGTTGCCCTTCACAGGATGTGTTATTGCTGAATTATTTTACGAACTTCAGGTTGAGGTTGTGGCACTGAATAAAGCAGTTCTTATTTAAAGAGCAATTCACCACCAGATCAACATTTTTTTCCTGATAACCTATACAAATGCGTGTCTAATCATGCTGCAGACACGTGTAGCCAATAGTTTTGCACTTTAGTGCATTTTAGTCAAAATTTAAAATTTCTGCCTAAAACTGTCAGTGTTGTGCCGTTGTCAGGTAAAAACTCTGCACTGCATTTGAATTTAAATCTGCCATCGCTACTGGCTAAGAGGTACACTATGACGTTAGCTAGTACATTATGATGTCACAAATTAGGCCCGGGCATCGAGCATCGATTGGAACCGGTTCCAGCTGTTCATTTTTCCCGGAATCGTTCAAAGTTTTTTATTTCGATTCCTAGTTTCGATTCCTATCATGCCGACCGGAAGAGGACTCCGCGGCTGATCTCCGCTGAGCACCACCTCACCCCTGCCACGTGGACCTCAAGGGATGAACCATCAATCCTGCTCAGTGGTCAACTTTACTCGCGGGGTAACACCCATAAAGACAGTGGGAGGGTTAATATTTTTTGGAAATGCCTGAAATTTATAAAAATAGGACATCTGTGTGAAAACAAGCGCCATTAACAGAAGATGCGTTGATATGTGCAGCAAATAAATGATTGAGTGGACTTTTCCTTTAAGCAGTGTTTGGTTATTTGTCAGCAGACAAATACGTTTAGTTCTGTGGCTCGGTAACGGTCTTCAGAGCAGCTTCATCGATCCAGCACTTTCACAGTTGGCTCAATTAAAATCCTTCAAAAAAGTACTAAAAAACAAACAAAAAGGCTCAGAGTTGGGTTTATAATAATAAAAATAGAATAAAAGCACAGTAGAGTTTGGCCTCGCTTTTCAGTGATTGTCTTTGTGTTTGAAGAAGCTAGTCGGAGAAATCCCACGCAGCCTCAGTGGTGTCGGCGCTTGATAAAGGAGCGTGACACGAGGGGCCAGGGGGGCTCGATACTGGAGGTTCCTCAGGGCTGGTGAGGGGCGCTGCTGGGTACATGAGGCTGAGGAAGGAGTCTCGGTTGTGCCTCTTCACCTGAAACAAAACAGAAAATAATCTTTCAGAACCTCCTGGGATCGCGCGCGCGCGCGTGTGTGTGTGTGTGTGTGTGTGTGTGTGTGTGTGTGTGTGTGTGTGTGTGTGTGTGTGTGTGTGTGTGTGTGCGTGTGTGTGTGTGTGCGCCCCGTCAGGGTCACCATCTAAGTGCTGCTGGGTGCTAATGCTAGACATTAAAACTGCATTTGCCAGGTGAAAAACCACAGAGCGCTAAAACAAATGGACAGAAACAGAATTCTAACTTTTATGCACTAATAGTTACTTATTACTCACAGTTGTAACGTGATGAAGGAGCTATTCCTCCAAGGTTATTTAATCTTTTCCACAGTTCCCTTTGATACAGCGCCAGAGTGCATGAAACAGCCTCAAGGTCATGCATTCGCTTCTAAACTGTTTATTTTCCAGCAATGAAGACAGAAGATGAAGAGACTCTTTTCTTTCATTAAATCAAAGAACTCTATTTTCATTAAAGCTAATCAAAACAACTGTCAGTCAATAATACTGTGAAATCACAATATTATGATTAATATGTTTTAATAAGTAATATGACTTAATCTAGTTCACTAGACACACTGACACACTAAGGAAAACAATCACATGACACATTGCTGTTGCTGATCCAATCAGAACCTTCCTAGTCTGAAGCGTGGCAGAGTCTCTGTGGTGTTTATAAATCTGTCAGCTTTGATTCGTCCAGAATCAAAAACATCCAGATTGATAAAACTGTTGCAACGCCATCTTAAGTTCAGTTCTCAAGATCCCATGAAGTTCACCGCATGTTAAGTGAAGTATTGGACCGGCCATCTGTACTTCTCTTTTTAAGCTGAGAACAATCAAGCTGGAAAAATCTGTCGTTTTTACCAACCAAGCAACGGTGCCTTTCAGAATAAAAGCTGAACTCGCTGACCCAAGGAGGGTTCCCTTTTGACGCTGTGAACACCTGTCGCTTTTTACCTGGACACAATCCAAAGACTGGTTTGTCGTACTGTCAACACTGTTCCATCGGCTCCAGTACCAGAGGAGGGTCTTGGACCTGGCGTCCGGATCTGTACGGAGATCTCACTGAGGGTATGTGGATGTGACATAAATGGCGTCTCATGTGTTTATGAAGCTACTCTGATAAGTTAGGAGCAAAACATCATCTCCCACTCAGACTTTGTTTCTCCTGATGCGAGGGTTCTGAATGACACTCATTCACCACACACCAACCGTCTCACACCTCATTCAAACAGAGCATCCATCATTAGAAAGTTAGTATTGTTCAATTTGTTTAAAATTATTTAGTAATAAACCATCTTAAACGTTTGAAGGTCTCTCTCTCTTCTCTTGTCTCTCAGTTAATACAAAGTGTTATCTAAATCCCTGCAATAAAAAGATCCAATCTTCTGATTAAATAAACCAGTGGTCCGCAAGATGGATTTCATACTAGATAAGAAATTTTAATGTCTTATGGTCCTTAATTAAATGTAATTAACACTCAATACACAGTGATAAAGTAATCTTTTCACAAAATACTTTCTTTACTCTTACTTAGGTGGAGTCACTACTTCTTAGACACCACCCACCTCTGGCCAAAAGCCTTTTTCGTCCACGTTTGGATGGATACGCTGTTTGGGTGAGACGTTTAGCTTTGTTTACACCACGTCTCCTGGGTAACTCCACATCCCAGAGTGTTGCTAGTATCCACTCATCAATCTCGGACCTTTCCCTCCGCCCAAATATACGGAACAAATATTGCTGCGCAATACTGTCACGGGCCTTAGCGGTCTTTGGAAAAGGGGTAGAAAGTGTCCCCTCCGATATCCGATCTGGGTATCTAAAGTCCGACTTTCACAACCCCCAACAGCAGTGCTTGGTTTCTTCTAGGGATGTCCCGATCCAGTTTATTTGCCCTCGAGTCCGAGTCATTTGATTTTGAGAACCTGTTGATACCGAGTCCCGATCCAATACTTTCGATACATAAAAAAAGAATAAAGAAAGCTAAGAAACAGATCCAGAATGTTCCTTATTTTTTATTTAATTAACTTTATTTTAACATTTAACAACTCGGTGCTACTACTAGTTTACCCGTTTAATTATAGATCCACTAGGATAAATACAATAAAGTTTATCTCCAACCAAATAGAATATTTACTAAGAAATCACAATATAACCATAGAGTATATATGTTGTGTGTGTGTGTGTGTGTGTGTGTGTGTGTGTGTCTGCTCTGTCTTCTCGATCCCCAGTGAGTCGTGGTGGATGGCTGCTTATACTGGGTCAGGATCCTCTGGAGGTTTCTTCCTATTAAAAGGGAGTTTTCCTCTCCACTGTCGCTGCATGCTTGCCTAGTAAGAGGATTGCTGTAAAGACTCTGACACTTGTCACTCACTAGTGACTCGATGCAACCTGCTGGGTTCCTTATATAGTAAACTTTTTACTGATTGGCTTAATGAACTGACCTGTATTGGAATGTTTACTGTGTGAAGTGCCTTGAGACGACTCTTGTCGTGATTTGGCGCTATATAAATAAAGTTGAATTGAATTGTTAAAAAACAGATCACTTCTGTGAGACAATCAAGTAATAAATAAAAATAATTCTTCACTTTTAGACTTAATTGCAAATATAAAAAAGTATAATATGAAAAATAAAAATAGCACCTCAGCTTAAAATACCTGGCAGGGGTCTATTTTGCTTTGGCCCCCCAAAATGCCTTGATACGGCCCTGGGTCTTGGACTGAGTTTTCAAGGTGATCTGAACTGTATCCAATTAATAAATATTACAAGCGGATAAATTATGGCTTTATGAATGTAAAAACATACGGTGGGATAAATCTACTTACATTTTATTTTTCAAGAACTTTCTTTTGTTTTCTTGGGTTTTTATTTTCCTTTTTTCCTGTCCCGTCTGTCTCTGATCTTCCTGCATCTCCTCCAGAAAAACTGCTGCCTGCTTCCTCCTTTTTCACCTCACGAGTTACTTTTTAACTAAGCAGATCAAACGGATCTACTGACCACAGCAAAAGCGGAGTGTGCGCTGCCCGGCCGTGCCAGTGACGTGGAGTCACCGGACCACGGGCCATGAGCGTCGCAGCGGCAGAGCGCGTGCGTCTATACGCATCAGGCTCGAATAACAGACAGAAATTACTAGAGAGAATATGAACGGAAAATGTTACTGTGGCCGAGTGCAGAACGCAGCTGCCTGGATGAACAATCAGCGCTGACACTCTCTGAGAGTCCATATAAATAATATAATACAGGTAGGAACTGGATCTTCTTTTGGGGTCCCTCTGGGTGTGTAAGTTGAGGGCTTCAGGGGAGCCTGACAGCCTGTCAGGAGAACCAGGTTCCCCTTAGCTCTTGTCTAACTGGAACCCTGCATCTGAGTCCAGATTGGTAACGCCCGATCCGAGTGTGAAACCATGTGACCGGGACAGATTTCTGATCAAGTGACTGGATTAGGACATCCCTAGTTGGTTGGATGGTTAGAGCGACTCAGACCTATAGGCACCCATACAAAACGTACGCTTCTTCGTCTAAAGCTACCTCCCAGAATGCATTGTAACATTACATTGTAAAAGGCGCTATTGACAGCGTTTCACTGTTTCACTTCTGAAGTAGGCCTGACTTCTAAGTTTGTTGGCCCTCTGGGGGCCCATGTGACCGCCAGGCATTTGACTGCCTCTAGAGACGCCGCATTCCAAGAGGCAAACAGGCAATTACTTTAGACCCTTATACCTTAAAGAGCAAGTCACCCCCAAATCAACTTTTTTTTTGCTAATAAACTATATAAATGTGTGTCTAATCGTTCGGTAGACACGTGGGGTCAATAATTTTGCACTTTAGTGCATCTTTGTTAAAATTAAAATATTATTCCTAAAACTGTCAGCGTTGCACCCTCTTCAGGTAAAAACTCTGCACTGCATTTGAATTTCAATCTGCCATCGCTATTGGCCTAGAATGTTAGATGGTACCATATGATGTCACAGTGTCATTGAGAGCAGGAAGTGAGAGTTGAGTAAGAATCTACCAAAGTCTTACTCCACTTCCAGTTTGAAAAATGCAACAAATGCTGTTGCCTAGCAAACCGAGAGGGCGGAGCCGCTAACACACACACACACACACACACACACACACACACACACACACACACACACACACACACACACACACACACACACACACACACACACACACACACACACACACACACACACACACACACAGGCTCACAACAAAATTGTGACATCATAAAATATCAGCTAACGTCATAGTGTACCTCTTAGCTAATAGCGATGGCAGATTTAAATTCAAATGCAGTGCAGAGTTTTTACCAGAAGAGGGTGCAACACAGAATAATATTTAAATTTTAACAAAGACGCACTAAAGTGCAAAATTATTGACCCCACGCGTCTACAGAATGATTAGACACACATTTATATAGTTTATCAGCCAAAAAAAGTTGATTTGGGGGTGACTTGCTCTTTAAGGCGCCCCGAGAGGGTCAACAAGCTTAGAAGTCAGAACCAAAATAATGGCGACACTGTGAATAGGACTCCTATTCACAGCGACTCCTATTATAGGAGTCACTTGACAGCACTGGACGTCTCACAATCCCTGATGTGGCAACACACTTCCGAGTCTGCACCGCACAGACGTTCTTCTTGCTCGGCGCCCCATGACGACCTTGCAGCGCCACGAGGCTCTCTAATTAACAAAGTCTTCCCTCTTTACTCTGAAGCCTACCTGTTTGAAGAAGGCGTGGCTCAACAGTTCAGAGGCGGATGGTCTAAACAGAGCAAAAATAGAACCAACATTTAATTTGATATGTTTGTTCAATGAAACTACGAATGCAATTTCAAATCAAACAGATATTTCAGACGTCCTGCTGACCTGCGCTCAGGTTGCTGCTGCAAACACAGCTGCACCAGGTTGTGCAGGGTCGCCGAGTGGTTTTTGGGCGCGGGGCTCTGCGGTCGGTCAGCAGGGGGAGCTGTGGTGCTGTGCGTCAGACTCCCTGTGGCCACGCTCTCCCCGATGCCGGAGTCCACTCCAGATCGCGACACCTTCAGACCACCCAGCTCTCCCAATGGGAAGGGAGCCACATCCAGGAGGCAGCAGTGGGAGCCACGTAGCTTCTGAAGCAGCATCTGAGCAAGGCGATTTATAAAACGTTGAACCAAAAGTCCACAGGTAAACCATCTCATGTAGCATTTTACATCCATACCTGGGTGGGCGGCATGTCCTGGAAGGGCACCCTGCCACTGACCAGCTCACACGCAACAATACCCAGGCTGTAGATGTCTGACTTCAGGCCGTAACCATGCAGGTCCTACTGAGAGCAACACCCCCGTCCAATACCAATTAAAACTTTATTTGAACAGAACGGCGTTTAAACTAGTGAATCCTGACCTGTCGCAGTAGCTCGGGACTGAGCCACGGCAGTAGTGTCGGGCTGTGGTGGGGCATGTCAAACACCGCCCTTAATCTCTTCCCATCGCGCATCATACTATAAACACTGTGGAGCCCAGAAAGGTAGACTCGACCCTCGCCTGACAGCAGAATGTGACTGGCCTTTACCCCTCTGACAGGAAGAAAAACCATTTAGATTAAAGCATTACCCCAAAATAATGTAGTGTTGGGCCCCAGACTAACCGGTGAACGTAGCCCATCTGATGAAGGTATTCCAACGCTTTCAGAGCACCGTACAGCAGATACGCTATCAGGGATTCCCTCATCCCATCCGGGAAATATGTTCTCAGTAAAGCGTCTGCAGAGCCTGAAGGAAAACGGGAAACAGGACGGGCTAATTTTGATGTCTGATCTTTTAAAATCCTAGAAAAAAGTTGACCAACTTCCAAAGTACGGACGGATCAAAGGTAGGCGGAGGTAGCTGTGGCTCACCGTAGGTCATGAGTGGTGAGAGGACCCAGAGCTGACAGCAGCAGCTGAAGACCAGGCGAGATGTTAGCAAGTTCGAGTGTCGGAAGAGTCGGGAGAGCAGAACCTCGTTCTGGGGGTTGAGAAATAAATTAACTTTACTTATTTATATAAATAATAAGACATGAAAGTGCTTCAGTTACTTAGATGACACAAACATTTTTAGCTCTACTTTTTCTTCCGTAGTTGTTACCGTACATACGAGAGACTAAAGTTTAAATTAGTCACATTAAGACAGACTATCTCAGCATTAGCTGTAATTAACTTCAGGAAAACAATAAAGAATGGACTCAGTGACACCCAAGATTTATATGACAACTAGTTTGTGATGGAGGAAGAAGAAATCAGGGACGACTAATGTTCTAAAACAGCCCAGATAAAGTTTACATTATTCAGTATTAGATGTGCAGCGCTGAGCTCAGACTAGAGCTCAGGGGCCTCGTTTATCAAGCTTGCTTACGCACAAAACGGGGTGGGAAAACTGCGTAAGCAACTTTCCACACAAACTTTAGGATTTATGAAAGAAAACTTAGCGGAAAAATGTGCGCAACTTTAAGTTGACTAAGGACCTGGCTTACGTACATGTTGGACATGGAGAGCACCTGCAGTGCTGCTGCTGAGAAGATACAATTATGAAATCCTGCAGCATTATCACTTGTACTGCTTTGTTTTCACACAGAACAAGACCCCCCCCCCCCCCCCCCCCCCCCCCACACACACACACACACACACACACACACACACACACACACAAACAGCCTGAAGCGCAGAATACGGAATGCAGAATATCAGCAGGGGGACAGATTGAGACAGAATGCCACGCGTCTGTGACAGTGTGTGTCCTGTCACTGTGACCCGATTGATCATGCGCCCTGGCTACTTGGACAAGGGAGATCTCTGTTTGGATGACTGGTTAGCGAGTGTGACTCTTACCCGAGAGTCTGGGGATCGAATCCTGATCGGATCAATTTTTTTTATATCCGCCACAGATCTCTCTGAAGAATTCACAACATTGACGGCTTCAGCAACGCTGTGCCACTCCGTGGATTTTCTCTTATTTGTTTAGCAAAAGCACTTCCTTTCATTTCTCCACCTCACCCACAAGTACCTCAATTTCTGCTTCTGTGAAATTGCGCTTCCTTGATCTGCCTTGATCTACGGTCGCCATCGTCATTGGCGGAGCGCTGCAACAGACGGCTTATGTATATGCATGAGATCCACGAGGCACTTTGCATTGACTATTTATGGCAGGAAGTGGGCGTGGTGAGGGCGGGATGCGACTAAAATGCAGCTGAGAACCTTTCTAGATAGTTTCTGATTTATGAAGCGGAGATTGCGTGCAGCTATGCGTTCTCCATGTTTGATAGATCACAAACCTGCTTGGCGTAAGTACTTTTTCTTTTTTTGCTGAGCTTAAGTACGGTTTTAGTAAGGATTCTACGCAATGTTTGATAAATGAGACTCCTGGTTTCTGGCACTTGACTAGCACTTGGTTTCCAAAGAGCTAATCTAAGTTCAACTGTTAGCTTGACTATGAAATCAGCTGCATAAAAATAGCTCTTTACACAAGCTTAAAAATAAGGCGCTGGTGCAGTATTTTCAGCAACAAACATTACATCTATATAAATATATATCATCATATATAATATATATATTACATCTTCTTTAAATGTCCACGTGGACAGCAGCTCACCATGAGTTGCAGCAGCTCGTCTTCTGTACACTCGTCCAGGTTGGTTCGTTTGACCGCCACCAGCTGACCGGTGGGAATGTGGCGGGCCATGTTCACTCGGCTCAGGTTATTGAAGCCCCTCCCTGTCAAACATTTTAGATGAGGTAATTTTGAAAGATTCTGATTTTCCGACGGTCATTTCAGTCTCACCCAGCTCAGACAGTAGCTGGTAGTGGGAGGGCTCAGTCGACAGCCCTGTGACGTCATCTCCACCGGCTGGTCCTTGCAGCGTGTACTCAGAATCGTCACAGCTCTGCAAAATTACATAAAAATGGTACCGACGCAAGAAATACAAGCTGATCAGCATAATAGTAAAGATGATTTGGTCCTTTGAGCACATTTACACCTGAATGTGTGTAATAAATCTTCTAATTATGACCAAATAATGCTAATGGTAAAGACAAACTGCGTGGCTAAAAGTCAAAATATTAGAGGAACAGCGCCCCCTAGAATACGTCAAAACAGCCTCCTCACTGAAGTAACTTTCTTGCCGAGTAATGAAGTTTGGTACACGTGTAGAACTTCCCAAGACACACACAGAAGTTCCTTGTGAGCATATTCCACAAACAGGAACTCGGCCATATTGGACTGAAGATGCGCTTTGACCCTGTTTTGGCTGTTTGTAGGGTTGGTTTTTGATCTAACAGGATAGAAAAAGTAGCCGAGTCTAACATCGCTCAAAGTGGGTAGCACCAAAAAAGTCTACTTTCTGATAAATTATCATTGTTTTTAAACTGTGCGGGAAAATCAACTATTATCTTTTCAACTACATATTAAAATAGCTTTCTGGAGTCTTTCCCTTTCAGAAATGATGTATGATTTTTCAGAAACCCGTAAAAGTGATTATCTTATCATGTACTGTGATATATTGTAAACAATACGTCTTTTATTTTTGATAAGCACGCCCCCTGCCCCGCGGAGCTCTGCGCAATGGGAAATTGAGCACCGACCAGAATAAACCAATAGGGAGCCTAAGTCACTTTCACATCACGGGTCCCCGGAGGAACGAAATAAATGAATGCAAGTCAACGGGGCTAAAAACGCCATTTTCTAATCCGTTTTGCCTTACGCCCTGGATCGCACATATGTTGTACTGCAATATAAATGAAAACTAATGATGGGTGTTTCGACCACGCCAGTCACGTACTTTGAGATTTATTAGCTTGTAAAAGTTCGTAATTAGCATGAATACAAACTAGAAATCGGCACGTCGCATATATGACGTCATCACATAATCTCCCCTCCCCTAGCGTAGCTGCTACTTACCAAACGACCAGATTCATGGTGGTTCTTTCCTTCTGTGGGAAGTTTGCTGAACTTTCAGCCATTTTCCCTCAGTTTTCTCCGTGTCTGGTTCGATGACGTCACTTTCGTGAAGCGCGTTTGTAGTTCTGGACTTATTTTCACGCAAAACCTAAAATAGCATTTTCCTTTGTTCGACAGTAAGCGCGTTCTTGGTATCAAAATGTGTCTTTAAAATTCACGGACATCATATGTGAAATCTACGGCACAAAACAAGCGGAATTAGAAAATAGCGTTTTTAGCCCCGTTGACTTGCATTCATTTTTTTCGTTCTTCCGGGGACCCGTGGTGCGAAAGCGACTTAGGCTCCCTATGGCGTTAGGCTACCGCTTACGTGCTTCAAATTTAAGGACGTACCTCGGCTTATGCAGCGTTGATGAACTTTTCACGGACAAGTACGTCACTAAAAGATAAATATATGAGAACACAACATGACATCCTGGGAATAGTACTTGTAAAACAACGTGTTTCAGCTTCGTTTGTCGGCTACAGAAGCACTTTTATAAACTAGAAACGAGAAATCGCCATCTTAATAAAACAGATCAACCGACTATGTGTGTGATATGTTTGTCAGCCACTAGATGGCGCCATTGGATAAGGGAAATACTCCAGAAAGAGACTTGTACTAGTTATTCGATCTTCAAGGCTTCAAGTTTCTTTAAAGATACTTTTAGGCAGGTTTTTCATGCAGTCTATGTCATTCGGGTCATATTAAGCCTTTGTGAGGCTGCCAGCTGGTGGCGCTGTAAAGAAGGAGGAAGATGCTTGCTGTGTGTCTGTATAAGTGAGGTGTGTGTATGTGTGTGTGTGTGTGTGTGTGTGTGTGTGTAGGAGGGTTGGGATGGGGTGCTCATGCCATTAGCAGAATGTGTTTCAATGTTTCATTCTTTGTGCTCTAATTTTTCTACCTCAGGTTTTTTCTATATTAGCAGGGGAAAATGAACAAATCAGCACATAAATAATGATTATTATTATTATTCATGTGTTACAAGTTAATAATGAGCACTGATTATGACAATGAATTCCTGCAAGGCCCCCTTAACGGTTGGTGCCCCATGGCTGGGCCATTTTGATAGGAGTCTCATGACTTTTTAGGTGTTTTAATAAGAAGACCATTGTGTTGAATTGGTGGTGCAGGATGTCTTCATTTATTTTTTTTTGATCAACACCTTTTCCGATCAGCTGAGTTGAAGTTTGCTCTCTCCAGAGCTTATTACACCCACCAATGGTCAACCCCTACTCTTTTGCATACAGATCATCAAATCATTTCCATTGAGCGTCAAACGTAATTTTGCCCTCGCTTATGAGGGAGCTTTTCAATAAAGAAACAACGGTCAGAAAATCAGGTGAGGGGGTGTCATGTGATCCCTGTCCACATGCTGACTGTGTCCCAGTTACTGACCAGAAAGTGTTGACTGGGGTCCTCATAGCATTCCTCTATGTCCATGGGCCGGACCTGAGCGTGGGATATGCAGGAACAGTCCTGGGGGGGGGGGGGGGGGGGGGGGGGGGGGGGAGCACAGGTGAGACATGCCCAAACAGGACTAAAAGGAAGGGAGAGTAAATATGGAATTGGTGGACTGTGGACGGTTGGGAGGACCAGAGATGAGGCAGGGGGAGCAAGCATCAGAAGATATGGCACATGTAGGCACCTGTAGGATGTTTTATAAGCAAAGACTGGAAAGAGTTTTAAAGTAATGGCAGGAAACAGAGGGGAAGCTGAATGTTGATGTGCTTAAGCAAAGCAGGAAATGCATGCGTGTGGAATTAGATGAGCCCATTAGATTTCAGGCATACCCAGAATCATTAAAGGTGTGGTACGTATGTTTATTAAATAACTTTCAACACCATCTGATCCTTGTCTATGAGGAAATGTAAGTAATCGTTCAGATTTTATTTTCTCCTAAGTCCCTCACTTGGCCTCTACGGGTGAACGAGTCTACTGCGTTGACCAATAGCGCAGTGTTTCCACAAGAGGGAGCTGTCAGTCGACGAGAACGAGCCTCAGTCACCAGTGTGCACAATGGTGGCACGCATCTCAGTTGGCTCGACACAACGGAGCAAAAGCGCTGGTACAGCTTCCTCGTCTGACACAAATTTTGAAAGTGCTTTTTAAAAATTTGCCATGAGACGTTCTAGACCACAGCGTTGTGTCTCTGCTGCCACACACCTGACTTAAACAAATGAGTGATCAACAGGCTTCTGCAGCACTTGATGTCATCCTAAGGAGGCAACACACACGTGAACCAGGTGTGCTGTAGCAGAGACATGGAAAACACGCAGGACGGGGGGCACTGAGGACCAGGGCTGAGAAACACTTCTAGACAGTGGAGTGGGACTTATACTGGAGATGCTTTTAAAAGATGAAGGGAGCTTTGTGATCTACGAGGCCTCCAAACTGATGAAGAGCTGGCCAAGCAGCTTTTCTACAGATAAATGCTAAATAATTGTGTTGGGCAAGTTACTTCAAAACTGTAATTATTTATTACTTGTTACCCTAATTTTAAAGCAATTCATTACATTACAATATTACTGATTTTAAAATGTAAGGCATTACACTACTTTTGCATTACTTTAAGTTACTTTCACGAAAACAACTTCAACATGAATCTGGTAATGTGACGCTCAGTGAGCTCATGACATATATGTGGAAGGTGATGTGGTGTCTGAGCTAGGATTGCTGTTAAAAACAGTCAGATATAATAACAGTGCTTTAAAATGATTGTTTATTAAATAAAAGCAACAACAATCTGTACTCTCAGCACGCTGCCATCTTAGATTAACTGAGCAGGGAGTGGGGTGGTGGGGGCTCCAAGCCTATATTTGCCTTGGTCCCCAAATGCCTCGATACGGCCCTGGATGTGGGAATGACTTCTGGGGTGATCTGATTCTATCACATGTATAAATATTAAATGCTTATATATTATTGCTTTTCACTGGTAAAAATGTGTATTGGGGATAAATCTACCTACTTTTTTCTTTTCAAGCACTTTGTTTTGTTTTCTTGATTTTATGTGAATAATTTCCGGCCCTTTCTCTCTCTAACCTTCCTGCTTGCTGCATGTTTTCTCCGTCTTCCAGAAAAGGGTACCAGACCCTCTGATACGGGCTCTTAGGTCCCTGTATAACCGGTGTCAGAGCTTGGTCCGCATTGCCAGCAGTAAGTCAAGCTCATTCCCAGTGAGAGTTGGACTCCACCAAGGCTGCCCTTTGTTTCCTAGATTTCCTACTTTCTAACTAATCAGCCAATGGGATCTACCGAACACACAAAAATAAAAAAAGCTTAATATGCGCTGCGCTCCAGCAGCAATGAGTTGAAATCACCGGGGCACAGATTATGAACTCAGCTGAAAAGTACATGAAGCACCAGAGAATATGGGCTGATATACACGATTGCAAACGAATGACTTTGTTTTGGTGGAGCGATTTTGTGAATATAACAGCGGCCGCGCGCAGGACGCAGCTGGAGGATTTGAGCCGTTACCGCTGCGTCCTCTCTGCTCATAGAATGCCCGCAAAGCTGAGTCTATAAATGACGTCATATATGTGGATACTGGATCTTTTTTCAGGCTTCCCGCAATTTGAATTTTTAGGAAACCTACATCTTGATTCTGGGTTTAAAAATGCATCGTAATTACCGCGTTACTGACAATCGTACCGAGTAAACATTACCATTTTCTTTCCCTGTAATGCCTTACATTACCACATCACAGCAAAAAGCAATACATTACAGTAATTAATTACTTTTGTACCGCGTTACTCCCAACACTGTTGATTGTATTTTAGAGAACTGTAAACGATAATTTTTTTATGTAAATGAAAGAAACGATACTGCAGATTTTGCTGCGCTGGCTAATATGTTGATAGCTTGAATGCTAACATAGCACCTAATTTATGTCAGTCTGTAAAACAAAAGATAAAGGCTAACTGTGGAAGAGGAGAGTTGATCGAATGGGGACTTTGTGTATTTGAGCTAACGGTTAGCTCTAACTGGACATGACAAAAACCAGCTTAAACACAATTTAAGAGCCGACACTGACATGAGACACAGAAGGGCTTAAATACACAGACATCAAGGACAGGTGTGAGCATGGACGTAGTTTTGACTTTTGAAGTAGGGCGACACACAACCGGAATGAGGACCGAGGGGGGATCTATACAATACGTTCTAATGGGAAACAGGCTTCAACACAAACGTTTGTATTCCGCTTCGTCCTAGTGTTCAACCAGTGTATACTTAATATTGTGTCATATTGCTTTTTGACAGTAAAAAGTGCTGGTGTCAAAATTTGACTTTGGAAAAAGTGTTGGGGGGGGGGGGCATGTCCCCCCGTCCCCTCCCAAAACTACGTCCATGCGTGTGAGAAACAATGTCGATTAGGCAAGCAGGGAGGACAGCTCCTGACTCGTACAGTACATTTGTCTTGTTAAAAATATATGTTTTCTGGCTAATTAGTTTGCTGCTACAAATAACTGCATGTCTCATTTCAAAGAAACCGCAAACCAAACCGATAGAGTGCTGCGACTGGCCCGACAAGATAGCTGAGGCTGCAGACGTTGCAATGGAGCGTGGCTAGACCATCCAGATTCCTAGGCTAGTGTGATGCGGAATGTTCAGTTCCAGGTCTGGAGGACTAGCATCCAGCATGTTTTAGTTTTTACCCTGTTTCAACACACCTGATTTAATTCAGCAGGTGATCAACATGCTTCTGCAGAGCCTGATGAGCTGCTGCACAGGTGATTCAACCACTGAATCAAGTGTGCTGGAGCAGAGAAACCACTAAAACGTGCTGGATACTGAACCTCCAGGACCAGAACTGAATTACCCTGCAATAAGGAGTGTTTCAATTTAGTGTGCTGTGATAGGATAAGACTAGGCGATGGTTTTTCCAGGGGTTAAGAGTTAGCCCTGTAATCGATGGGTTGCTGATTCGAACCGTCAGTTGAGTCCGACATTGTTCCCTTGGACGTGACACTTCACCCTCCTTGCCTGCTGGTGGTGGTCAGAGGCCAGCCTTGCTTCTGCACCCCATGGCAGCTGTGGCTACATTATAGCCATAGGCGTCATTTTAACCGGGGACGCTGGGGACATGTCCCCGGCAAAATTTGTGATTAGCAGCTGTGTCCCCCCCACTTTCAAAAACGCCTGCTGATGAGGATTTTTGTTTTACCAGCTCAGATCTTATACCAGGGGTCGGCAACCTGTTCCCATCAAAGAGCCATTATTACCCGTTTCCCACGGTAATTCTGGACGGACGAAGCAGGCAGGTCGCGCTAGAAAATTTCGTTTAAAAAGACGTCATAAATGTGTTCCCCCGTCATTTTTATTTATAAAATAAGAAGTAAAAATTCACAATTTAATTTATATTCATTTGTCATTAATATGTAGTCTACACCCGTGCGTTAAGTGGACCATCTTCCAGTAAACGCACAGCATCCGGCCCACCTCTCCAAATGCGTAAAATGTGCATCAGCCGCTAGCTAGTTAGGCGCGTCGCGCGCACCATCAGCTGATCGGCCCAGACAAGAGCAGAGCAAATAGAGAAAGAATAGAGGATAATTGTGTCTGGATGTGGATGGAGATTACATTTTACATCAGCCTGATCATCATTTAAATACGTAAACCATCACCTGTCTTCTAGTCCACGCTATCAGCATTATTTTAATTGGTGTGTGTGTGTGTTTTCCACTTCAAACACTGGTCTAACCAACCAGACCAGCGTGTCCAGTAACATATTAATGTTACAATTAAACAGTTACACTTCATGTAGGCTAGGAACGTTTCACCTGCAGTGGCCCGACCGCTTCTGCTCCACATAAACTTTGTGCGTGATCAAATGTCTCTACGCGTCATGCGTCTCCATATTAGAGACGGAAACAAGCGCTGTTCAGCCAAAGTTTCATAATTTCATAAAAGAACATTTTTCCAAGTGACACATCCCTCAGAGAGACCGGGTTTCCAGACTGTTTCAGTGGGAGGAAATCTTATCGCATGCACCATGGTTCTGCGCTGCGAACCCCAGATCTTCAGCTCACTGTCCACCGTGGGCGCTCCGAGCTGCGCTGAACCAGTATAAAGCTCTGATGTTCTGATGGGAATCTTTTACCTCCGCGATGTGCATTAACGATTAAAATGTCAGCTCATCCATGCGCATCAGTGTGCGTCGGGGTAATTCTTTCAAACCAAGCAACATCCTTGAGTTCATCTGTCAAAATAAACAGTCAAATGGAAATATCTGTAACCTGCCGTTTAACTGTTTTGCCTTCCTGTGAAGATTGTTGCAACGAGAAACAATTAAACTTGATTAACCCCAGAGCCACCCAGAGAACCAGAGCGCATGCGGAAGGTTCCTCCCACTGAAGCGAGTGTTTTCCATACCCGGTCTCTCAGAGAGACTTGTCACTTAGAAAATGTTCCCTGATGATGAAACTTTGGCTGAATAGCGCTTGTTCCTGTCTCCAATGTGGCGACACATCTAGGAGCCGTCTGAGGAGAAGCCCAGAATCTCACATCCTCTTCAGCTCAGAATGCGCCTATATGATTACGCACAAGCGTGACGCGCCAACCCGGTCTCACAGTAAGACCGGGTTGGACCTGTTCAGGTTTACGCAGACAATCTTTACATTTAGAATTGGCATACAGATGTAAAATTAATGCAGTAAAATATAAAGCATTTTATTTAAATATCCATTCATTATTTTACAAGCAGAGAGCCGCATCAGATGGATGGAAGAGCCGCATGCAGCTCCAGAGCCGCGGGGTGCCGACCCCTGTGCTAGCCTACTTTATTGTCCCCAGCAATTTTTAAACCCCACTCAAATGTATGGCTATTGTCCCCAGCAATTCTGAAAACAAACTGACGCCCTTGATTATAGCTAATCACCACCAGAGTGTGAATGTGTTTGTGAATGGATGAATGATTCATTGTAAAGCCCATTGGAGTCCTCAGACTCAGAAAGGTGTTACAAGTGCTTGTCGTTTATCATATGTAGGCTAATTATTTCCTACTTGAAATTAGTTTTCTGATTTTTTTTGAAGTAATTAAGCAAATATTACCTCAAACACACAGAAAATTATGTAATTTACAAAAATCTGTTCCAACAAATGAAGGATTAAAAAATGAGAACAGTTTTATAAAGGCAGAGGCTACTTGTCCGAAGCATACAAGGGCGCGTTAACCATCAATCTGAACTAGAACGTAATTAACTGGGTCATGCATGTGCAAGTTCACCCCAAGGTCAGACTTTAGAAGTGGCAATTGCCATCTCTGAAACTCTTAATCTGTAATGGAAGGAAGTTTACATTTATCTAAATTAAAAATACCAAATCCCACCATCAGGTTGGGCTGATCTATGCCCTCCCAACCGCTACGTCACAATTCCTGACAATTAAAGTGGAAAGAGGAAAAATAAAATCAATGCGGCGTGACGTCCTTACCAAGAAAGACATGGGTCCTTATGGTGGGGGTGAAATCGCAGACTTTAGCATTCAACCGCTCATGGGCTGCGGGGTTATGATGAAGGAGACAGCGGGATGAAGCTCAGCAGTGAGGCACACCAGACAAGTTTGAGACCAGCGTCCAGCCTTCTGGAGGCTTACCTGTCTGCATCAGGTCATCTAGACCTCCGAGACGACCTGTCCCCACCGGAGGTCCCAGTTTAGGCGAACGGGAGGCGTTGACATCAGTGGGGGGATTCCTAAAAAAAAAAAAGAAAAAAAAAGCAAGACCACAATAATGCACTGGCCCATTTTTCAATAAAGATATTCACACGCCAGCACTTACACCACCTTCACCCACGTTAATATAACAAATCCAAGCCTCCAGTTGATGCCGTTTCACATGTAAAAGTGTCTTTATTTGAAGTATTCTCTACGATTCGGCTGCTTACCTTCTCCCCCCGACAGCGCGTCGACGACGTAAACAAGTTAAAAACACAAAGGAACGTCACACATTCTACGCGACGTATCTTTACGCGTTTATATCCTGCTACTTTTGATTCGTGCTATTTAGTTAAGTGACATTAACAACCCAGAGACTTCGTATTTTTGCATAAAGAGAATAAAATCTCCGTTTGAGAGGACTTTTAATTTGACACTGATAACCGTCGCAGGTTGATGACGACTGCTAGCATCTAGACATGCCATAGACAGACAGTTAGCCAGAGATGCGTGTAACATCTCCGCCATATTAGGAGATGAAAACGGACCTGAAGGCTGTTAAAGGGAAATATTTATTTTCAGTTCCACCAAAAAAAATTATCGTTTGATCGATAGTTGAGTTGCAGAGCAGGCGACTCCTCAGCTCCTCCTATGGATATGTATTAACTTCTTTTCAGCCACCTCACAGTAGGACATTAAGAAAGGTGCCCATCTCAAATGACACAGACCTTAATTATATCCTTGCGTTTTGTCAAATTTTATAATTGTTTTAACTAGACACCACTCTTAAGGGGAAAATTTTCAGATAAGGAGACATTGATCAATGGTGTTTCCCAGCAGTGATCCCAGCTCAGCTGAGATGAGAATCAGCTTCTCTGAAATCCAAGACCATGGTCTTGAGTTGGAAAAGGGTACAGTGCTGTCTCTTGGTCAGGGACAAGGCCCTGCCTCAAGTGGAGGCGTTTTAAGTATCTCTGGGGGAAAAATGGAGCAGGAGGTCAATTGGGCGGATTGGTGCTGCGTAGACAGTGATGTGGGTGTTGTACTGGTTTGTTAATCTACATCCTCACAAGCTTTGAGTACTGACCAAGAAAATGAGACTGCGGATACAAGCAGCCGAAATGAATTTTCTCCACAGTGTGACAGGGCTCTACCTTAGAAATATGGTGAGACGCTTGGTTATCTGGGAGGGGCTCGGAGTAGATCTGCTGCTCCTTCACATCGAGAGGATCCAGTTGAAGTAGCCAGTCTGCCAAGTAGAGTGGGAAATCTGAGCCGCTTTGCTTAGGCAGCAACCCGACTATGGATTAGCAAAGAAAAATGGATGGATGAATGAGTGGATCCCAGTTCATTCCCAACAGCCATCGTAACGACAGTGAAGTTTTAAAAATCTTGTTTCGTAGAATATGGGATGCTAGAGCTGATGAGCAGATGTTAATTGTCTCTTGAATCAAACAACAAAAATAAAATTCCTTGCCACTGTAACAAATGACTTGGCAACACGTCTGATTCGGATTTCTGTTTGTTAGCTGTAGTTGCAGAACCATACCAGCCCTCTCCAATATGGCGTATCATTGACGCACCAAGCTCACGACGTCTACATCTTTTTGGTCTACGCGGCACAACCCCCCCCCCCCCCCCCCGTCCCTTCTCCTCCTCCATTGTCTGAGGCTTTGCTGAAGGGATTGGCACGCGCTACCCTTGGCCGTTGGAATTTCCCATGGTGTGGAATAACATCGATGCAGGGTAAGATTTAAAATAAGCAGACGTGTTAATTATTTGTTAGCTTAGCTTGTGCCCCTCACCTCCTGCACGTGGGAGGTTGCTAGTTTGAGCTCGCAAAGGAAAATTAGCTAGCACACGCAGTGAGTTGTAGCTGTCATCACCCGAGACACGAGACACGCCACAAACGCTCACTTAGCTCATCTGTTTTTTATTTTTGCAACGATATCGGTATTACCGATATCAATTATTAATAATTAAGCGATTATGTGTAATGTTTTAACATTGTTTTACCCCATATTTGTCGAACATTGTCAACACTTTTAAACCAACTGACTGTTTATCTGTTTATCACCGACTGAGTACCATATTCATTATGATTTAGGCCCTTTCTAAATTCCGCTATTGTCCCTTGTAGGCTCCTGTAGGAAGTTTAGTTCAAAATTGGCATCTGCTAACTACAAATGACCACATTTAGCATCATTTCCTGTTAAGACAATAATATCTGCCTTATTTAGGTGTATGGTGCATTTTGAATAGATTTTTTTTACCCCTGGCATCACATGATTCCAGAAACTACTGCTGTTCAAGTCTGTCACTAGCTGTCTTAACTATCCTGCTTGATCTAAACAAACTTCCGGTTTGCCAGGTCTCTTCTGATTGTGTCTCTGTAAAATCCTCGGACAGAAGAGGCATCCCTCCATGCTGATGTGGTTTTACGCCTTTATTTCCCCTCTAACCAGTACTGGGCTCTAACAGGGTTTGTTTATGTGTGTTTGTAGTCAAACCAGCATAAATTCTCCCTTCTCTTCTGTGAATTGTGTCGTGGAAACTGATGTGGGCCTCTCTGTTAGATTGTGACGGTCTGACTCGTGAGATGACTCACAGGCGTCTGGATCAGACCAGCTCTGGAATTTCAAATCAGGGACGAAGAAGACTTTTCAACAGATGCAGTTATTACAAAGACGATGGATGCTGCTGAATCTATATACTAATGATTAATTCATTGGTTATTAAATGTGAGAGGTTGTCCTGAAGCTTACCTGGAATAACCCCACTAGTCAGTACCAGTACCATATGCGTATTTATGACTCGTTTCTAGTGGTAAACATCATTTTTCGGGCTCGCACGCGTGGCATCTGCTTTAATCTCCTTCATTGGTCAGTGTCTGCGTCTCTGTTGTGTAAGCAGAGGTCGCCCAAGGACTTGACTTTCCTCTGGCATGTGTTCCTGGCATAAATCCACTCAGATGAGCCAGACAGAACACTAGTGTCTATGAATCCAACATGGAATATAATGGCTACCTCTGTATGTTCGAATGAGTTGTTAATGCATTAGTTTACATTCAGAATGTCATGTTTCAGTGGTTTATTTTTTTAATATTTCTGTAATCATCCCTTTAAGGCCTGGGAATGTTTCCCCAGAGATTAGGAAACAGGAAGTGGGATGGCCCTGTCTCATCCTTAGGACAACATAAAAACTTGAGAATGAAAATAGAATCCACCAGTGTGACATCAGCTGGCGGTTTCCCTGTTCTGAATGATCACATAAGCACAAACCTCTTCCTCTGCTGCAGGTGAGGATGTGTGGGCACCTCCCGTCATCAAACAGAAACAGGATGTGAGGTTGCCACGGTAACAGCCTTCTTGTCCAACTCTTGTTTCTGTGAGTGGGAAGCCACTGCCCCCACACTAAAGACAGGACATGTTTGAAGTGAAACCTCGGGAGGTGGCGAAGAAGGAGTCGAGCACGGAGACGGGTGAGTGTGTGGACTCGGGCAGGTCACCGCTTGATGGAAATGACTTTAACCCTCCCACTGTCCTAATGGGTGTGACCCCCGTGAGGAAAGTTGACCATTGAGCAGGGTTGATGGTTTATCCCTTGGGTCCATGTGGCAGGGGGGAGGAGTGAGCACCACCTCACCCCTGCCACGTGGACCTCAAGGGATAACCCATCAATCCTGCTCAGTAGTCAACTTTCCTCACGGGGTCACCCATAAAGACAGAGGGAGGGTTAAGTGTTGGTTTTCTAGACTTTCTGAAGGTCTTTTGAAGATTTTTGTGGAACCTATGACTCCCATCTACAATCAACCAATGAAAATACACCCAGAGAGTGTGACAAAAGCAAATGATGAGAGTAGCATTAGCAACAGTGGAAGCTAAACACAGGAACTTGTGGACGACTCCTTTTTGGAGTTTTGTCCAATAACAGAAGTGTTAATGGTGGTGTTTTTTTATCCTTTCACTGTTGTTGCCCTGGGTATCCGTCGACTTTTCAGCGAAAATGCTCATGACAGTAGCACGTCCTGCTAGAGTCAGACGTCGTGTAGTTTGGCTACTCGAAGGCTGTTTGAGGATCACAAGCACATTTTCTAAGATGACGTTTGAATAGAATAGTCATCGTTGTCCTCCTCCGCTTATCCGGGTCCGGGTCGCGGGGGCAGCATCCCAACTAGGGAGCTCCAGACCGTCCTCTCCCCAGCCACCTCCACCAGCTCCTCCCGCAGGACCCCAAGGCGTTCCCGGACCAGATTGGAGATGTAACCTCTCCAACGTGTCCTGGGTCGACCCGGGGGCCCACTGCCGGCAGGACATGCCCGAAACACCTCCCCAGGGAGGCGTCCAGGAGGCATCCTGACCAGATGCCCAAACCACCTCAACTGGCTCCTTTCGATCCGGAGGAGCAGCGGTTCTACTCCCGATTCCCTCCCGAATGTCCGAGCTCCTCACCCTATCTCTAAGGCTGAGCACGGCCACCCTACGGAGGAAACTCATTTGGGCTGCTTGTATCCGAGATCTCGTTCTTTCGGTCATTACCCAAAGCTCGTGACCATAGGTGAGGATTGGGACGTAGATCGACCGGTAAATCGAGAGCCTGGCTTTCTGGCTCAGCTCCCTCTTCACCACGACAGATCGGCTCAGCGTCCGCATCACTGCAGACGCCGAACCAATCCGCCTGTTGATCTCCCGATCCCTCCCACCCTCACTCGTGAACAAGACCCTGAAATACTTAAACTCCTCCACTTGAGGTAGGACCTCTCTCCCGACCCGGAGTTGGCAAGCCTCCCTTTCCCGGTCGAGAACCATGGTCTCAGATTTGGAGGTGCTGATCCTCATCCCAGCCGCTTCACACTCGGCCGCGAACCTACCCAGCAAGAGCTGAAGGTCAGAGCTGGATGAAGCTAGGAGGACCACATCATCCGCAAAAAGCAGAGACGAGATTCTCCTGCCACCAAACTCGACACACTCCACACCACGGCTGCGTCTAGAAATTCTGTCCATAATGGTAATGAACAGAACCGGTGACAAAGGGCAGCCCTGGTGGAGTCCAACCCTCACCGGGAACAGGTCCGACTTACTACCGGCTATGCGGACCAAACTCACGCTCCTCTGGTAAAGGGACTGAATGACCCTTAACAGAAAGCCACCCACCCCATACTCCTGGAGCGTCCCCCACAGGATGCCTCTGAGGACACGGTCATAAGCCTTCTCCAAATCCACAAAACACATGTGGATTGGTTGGGCAAACTCCCATGCCCCCTCCATCACCCTTGCATGGGTATAGAGCTGGTCCACAGTTCCACGGCCAGAATAGACTTCATTAATCCTACAGTGGGGAAATTCACTTACTACAGCAGCACCAACACGTAGAGAAAAGGAAAGGGTTATAGGGAAGTCTGGATCTTTGGAAGCATATAAAGAAAGAAGTGATTTAACACATTTGTACTGTACACTAGACCGGCCGCTACGTGTTTATTTCAGCTTGTGTGTTTCTAGACTCCTCTCTGCCAGTGCCTGGTTCCCCTTAGGTACAGTATGCTGAGTGCTAGGGCCTGATGCTATTGTTAGCCCCGTCTGTCCCAGTAAACCACATATTTACTCAAGTGGAAGGACATTGGTTGGTGCCGGAGTCAAGAGAGCACACACACACACTTTTAAAGGTTTTGCCAACACACACTGGCTCTGTTTTGTCATGAAACGACACAGCAGCAAAACAAAAGCACTTCTCTTTTTCTACAACAGCAACCATCATGGTTACAGTAGTTTCCTCTTCATGCGAGTTAAAATGTTTAAAAACATCTTGTTGGTTTTAGAGAATTGGTTCCGTTTTCAAAATGAAACCATCTCAAATAGAAGCACAATAAAAAAAAAGGTGGGATTAATTCCCTGTCTTTAACCAAGAGCCTATTTTATTGATTTGAGAGCGTTTAAATACAGATTTTGATTTATAAATCAAGAGTGTACATCTGAATGATGTTTGCTTTGGCTATGTATCCCGTCTACCTTCTAGATGAGGGGCTGGGCAGCAGCGGGAAGCATTACGGCTCCGGATCTCTGGGATCTGGTTCCGTCGGCTCCCTGTACCTGTCCGACAGTCAGGACTGGGTGGTTTCTCCGAGCTGCTCTCCAGACGAAGGCCCGGGCCCGATCAACACCATCTCCCCCATGTTGGCCGAAGAGACCCTCCTCTACATGAGTAGGTTTACCTTTTGACATCACTCTGCTGCGGGATAGAATAGAAAGCATCTTTTATTGGATCGGTTAAGAGCGGGATGCCTCTGCTCAGCAGATGGCGAGTCACGTGAGGGATTCCTGAATGCAGCTAACTTCCTGTTGAATTCAAATCGGAGGGGTTTGCCGTGGATATTATTAGCGCAGGGTTTATCTGATGCTGTGTGTGAGAGTGACACAGGAGCCCAGTGATCTCAGAGTTAGTGCTGCTGAGTTCAAAGTCAGGGCCAGAGTCACGAGACTGACGGCAGGGTGGAATCAGGGGGGCTAGAACCAACTGAGGATAAATATGGGTCAGTAGAGAGAAGAGAAGACGGAGCATGCCGGTTTTTAACATCCACAATGAGGAGGAGTACGAGAACTTTGCAGTGGAAGGTGAGAACAATGCTTTTGTCAGATTTAGATTCAGGCGGAAAGGCTTTTCTTCATGTGTTTAAAGCAAAGAAAGGGTGCAAACATGTTGTTGTTGTGTTTCAAAAAGATAACGTCCTGTTTTTCTCTCACGTGCAACAGTTTCACTTTCTTTATGTCAATCTTCATTGCTCTGCTGCGACACTTTCCCACTAAAACATGCTTGAAATCCTGAAATACGTCATTTTAGTAATGAAGACTAAAGGGAAGTTTTTGTGCTGCTTGGTAATTCAGTCTCATATTACCGTTTGCTCTACTTGTGCAGAGAAAAACCAAACGTAGCCTATTAATAGCACTAGCGTGTGCTAACTAACAAATCAAGAGGCTGTGTTTCGTTATACAACCACTGGGGTCCAGCCTTGGTCTTGGAGGGCCACTGCCCTACATGTTTTAAGTGTTTCTCTGCTCCTGGTGTGGCTGAGAAACAGGCTTCTTTGGAGCTTGAGAACGTGGTGAGGAGCTAATTAATCAGTTTAAATGGGTATGTTTGTGGAGGATGTTGAGGAATGGTTTGATATCATGAGCCAAAACAGTGGTTCTCAACCTTCTTTCCTTGGGGACCCCCTTGCCTGTATCCAAGATAAAACAGGACCCCCATCTAGGGACATACCGATACTGGTAAAAGTTAACCAATACCAGGAACCAATAGCATTGCAGTTGCTTGAAAGTGGCTTCACTGTAACTTGTCATTTCTGTTCACCTAATATTTTAGTGTTGTGATTATTTCTATTCATATATTTAACTTTTTATCTACCTCACAGTCTTTTCCTGTTGAAAGCAGAGAAGAAAATAAGATCTGTTTTCCAAATCATTGCATTTTTTTGTGTGGTAGAAGTATAGGTATCGGTAATCGGTATCGGCGAGTACTCAGATCCAAGTATCGGTATCGTATCGGTTTGGAAAATGTGGTATCGTTGCATCCCTACCCCCATCCATAACTTCATCCACACATTAAACGATTAATAAAAACTTTATACTAGGAATGGTAATTGATGAGTTTTAATCAATATCGATGGCATTGTCGATTCTGACTAGCGATCCGATTCCAGAGTTGTTAAACTGGCGGCAAAAAACTAACTTCATTCGGCTCCAGTTTCTTTATGATAAATAATCAGTTGTACCTGTATCGGTTGGGAATATCTTTCCAAATTGTGAAGGCAGAGGCATCTACTTGTTCAATGTAATGTTGCTGCTGCTTTTGCAGAGTGGGGAAAATCTCACCACAGATCAGACCTTTGTCTGCTAGTGTGGAGGTGTATATAGAAGGTAAATGACGCTAACATTATAGGGAGTGTTAGTTAGTTAGTTAGTTAGTTAGTTACCTGCAGTATTAGTAGGAGAGGACATGCAAACGTCACCGCTGCCGCTACGTAGATATTCACTAGTCTGGAGCGGGTCAAAACACGTCAATAACTTAGTTTTTGCGTATTTTGTGTCCAAAGGCTTTTGTAGATTCGGAATTCTTCCTCTCTTGATGAAATAATTTGCAGTTATTGCAAGTTACCCTGTTGTCATGCTTTCTTGTAAAATATAACCAAACATTCGAGTGTGTGTGCCACTTAGACACCATGTTTCCTGCCCCTGTAAGCTACGCAACGTGCGCGGTGACGTCATTCACGCCGACCAGAATTGATAAGGGGAATCTTTTGCAAAGTGGCGAATGATTCCTTGGAATAGAACCAATGGGAACCGGTTCTCAACAAGAACCGGTTTTCGATTCCTAACCCCACTTTATACAGACATACTAAGCTTTGATTATACTGGGTGTGTTATTGGGATTTTATAAATGTAATTTTTACTAAATTTGTCTTGGTAACCTCACAACCTCAGCACAGGCAAATTTGTGGGGACCCCCAGCAATCTTGAGGGGACTCCAAGTTTGGAACCACTGGGCTAAAACATCACAGATTGTTTCTTTTAGCCAGTGGGACATTTAAACAGCTACTTGTCGCTGCTAGCTGTGCTGAAATGCTAACATTAGCTTGTAAAAAAAAAAAAAAAAGAAGTGCTAGTGAGCTAACGCTAACATTATTTCTGTTAGCATCTCTACGAGCAATCCTTGAAAAAATATTGCCCACCCCCTTTTATGCCCACATTTTGACTCAGCTACACCCATATCATTGTCAGTTAAAACAGACTTGGCTACCGTCACGTTTGCTAATGCCTCTCCCTTGTGGCGGCCATCTTGAATTGGATGGACTTGAAGAGTGAATTCGTTGTAGATGATTGCTTTCTGAAAGTTTCGTTAAAACCTGTTGAGTTCTTCACGAGGCACTTTGCTAAAAGTAAGATTTAGTCCTTATTAGCAAATATGCTACATCATATGTAGTTTTCAAGAGTGTGTAGGAAATGACCACTACACCATATTTTTCTCACCTTCCAAAAGATATGTTGGTAGTGGTAAACAAAAATGCGATGTTATTTGCTACTTTTTGTAGAACATTACAGTTGAGTTAAGTTGTTGTATCCTCCAGCCACCACTAGAGGGAACTGTAGTTTCATTTGAATACTGGTTTAACTTTACTAAACATTTTAAACCCAAACAAATGACAAACATCTCAGTGCTGGGGATGTGTTTTGTATAAACACCGGGAAACACAACAATGGTGAAAGTTTGCACGTCTCACAACATCCTCAACACCAGTAGCGATGGGTACCGAATTCGGTACTTTTTAAGGTACCGACCGAATTCCATAGAACTGACTGAGCACCGATTCACGTCATTTGAAACGGTGCCTCGTTTCGGTACCCATCCTTCATAACGAGAACTTGCCAAGACAGCTGCGCATGCGCAAGAGCGTTATGTTGTCGGTCGCTGCGAGGCAGTTGTAAACAGAGCAGCATGGTAGAAAGAACGCACGCTAAAGCTTGGGTCCACTTCACTAAATGTGATGGGTAACTGGGTGATGATGAAACCAGCGACAACAATCTAAGTGAGACATCCTCATCTTAATCTGCTCCGGTAGGTAAATAAAATGTTTAAGATAATGTTAGCTTGATATGTTAGCTTCTGTTTCGCTAATGGTGCGTTCGCTTTCTCCTCGGAACTCCAAATTTCCGACTAGAAGAACATGAACGCGCTCTTAAAGTTTGGCTTCACTTTACTAAATGTGACGGGTGATTGGATGAAGACGAAACCAGTGACAACGATCTAAGTGTGAGGCATCATCGTTTTAATCTGCTTTAGCAGCTAAATAAACTGTTTAAGATAACGTTAGCTTGGTATGTTAGCTTTCATTGCTACCATTGTTATCAGCTAATGGTGCGTTCGCTTTCTCCTCGGAAATTCTAACTTCCCAGTAGGAAAAATCAAATGAAAAAGGCAGCAAAAGGAATGAAGATACACAGTAAATTTAGTTCACAGTAAAGATGTTTGCTTCAGTTTAAATATCAGCTTATAAAACTACAAGGACGATGTTAAAATACAAATAGTTGAATGTTATTTATCATGATATTTATCAAATATGGTTATATATTGAGAAAATATATATTTAATTATAAAAGAGAATTAAAATATTAAACACTCAAAAGTATCGAAAATTGGTACCGTTAAGTACCGGTATCGATTCCTAGGTACCGGGATTTAGTACCTAATCGATTCAAATGTCAAAGGTACCCATCCCTAAACACCAGTATAATTTAATTACGCATCACTCCATCAGCTACTCACCTTCTCTGTCGTTTGTTGGTGCCAAATATCCAACCAGTCGTACCATAGAAGCCCAGTGTTTCATTGTAAGTCACTCATCGATCATGAGTTCATGTCAAAATGACGCGACTCCTTTTGTCACATGTAGAGTCATTTTATTTATGCCAGAGTTGAGCTTTAAGTGAACACTCAAGGACCAAACCAGTCCATGGATATACATCACAGTTACTCGCTTCAGGCAGGAGGTAAACTGGAACCATATACAAAAGAAGCCGAGGTTATTTTTACCAGAGGAGACGGAACATCCAGAGGTCACCACGGGTTTCAGATTACTGGATGAGTGCTCTCATCTGTTTCCAGCATCTGCCTTGTTGTTTAATCCCTGCTAACATCCAGATTGTTTGGTTACACTAGCAAAGGAAAGGAGCTCTGACATTTAGTAACATTTGATTAAAAAAAAGCACTGATGTATCTTGTTTTTTATCTGTGCTTAAATCACGCTTAACATCTGTACTCTGATTACTAGATACTAGTAGATGTGTGGTCTAGTTTGGTGTTAAGGCTTCTCAGTCCAAACAAATGGCTGAGTGGGTGACTGACTGGAGTCGCCACTTCTCTTTAAACAGGTGGAAGCCGAGCAGCGTTGGCCACGCCCACTCAGGTGCTATAAACCAACCAGATTATTGAGCAGACCCTCGGTTAGTCGACAAACTAGTGGTTTTGTTTGAAGCTTGATTTATTGAAGCTGAAGCTTTAATGAATGTTTTGTCTCTGCACCTGGTCAGGCTTCTCTTTCCGTTTTTGTTCTTCCCGTAAACAGCTGGTTGTTTCTACTTGTCAACTGTCCCTTTCTTCTTCTTCTTCTTCTCCGTTCTCTCACTAGCGTATCTTGCTTTGGAGCCCTCTTCCTATCCCCGTCCTGGCTCTCAGAGCCTCTCTAAAGGTATCTTTTTCTTCTCCCGTCTTCCTGATCTAATATGGGCTTTGGTTTTCTGTTTACACCTGACAGCTGAATCTAATCTTTGGGGCTTTCTTTTCTTTTTGCATGTAGATGATGGCAAATAAAATAATTCTGTAGTAAAGTTTATCCGTCTGTCTAGCCTTTATCTGAGACTATTTAGAGCTAGCCTGGTTCTTAGCGTTAGTCCATTAAAACCTACACTAGCATGCTGTTGGACTTACAACTGACTTCCTGTTGTACCAATATACCCGAAAATCCCTGATTGGCTGGACCTTACAGCAAGGTCATGTGACTAGGTTTAAACCTCCCAAGACCTAAACTTTTAGTTTTCTGTATATCTTTTGGGATTAAACAGAAAAACAAAGTTTTGGTGGTTGTTTTTGCTGATTCTAAATTGTAGCCATGTTTCTGAGATTAACAAAAAATCGTAGTTTGATCAGAGCGGAGGTAGCGCCTTGGGAGGACTCTGGGTTTCAGGAGGTCAGTAGGTGGAATCTGAGTAAATGCTTGTAGAAGTAAATCCTGCATGCTGAGTGTACATGATTTCTGATTGGTGTAAAGAAGGTGGTGATCTTTTCACTTGCTGTAGTTTGTGTGGATACTTTCTACTTGTCAGGATGTTTGCTGCTGCAACGTAACCTGTTTCCTTCTGGTCAGTCCTCAGTGCTGATCGCATGGAGCAGATGACCAAAACCTACAATGACATCGAAGTGGTCACGCATCTTTTGGCTGAGGTAGGCGGTAGAAATGTAGTCGTTTTGTCCAGCTGTTTGCCTGACTTTTTTATCTGACGTGATTCTGGGTGTCTTGTGTAACTGCTGGACAGCGGGACAAAGACTTGGAGCTGGCGGCTCGGATCGGTCAGTCGCTGCTGCAGAGAAACCACCTGCTTCAAGAACGCAACGAGGCCTTGGAGGAGCAGCTGGCCCAGGCTGTGGACCAGGTAGTTCATTCCCAAACATTTATAAACGAACAACATGGGAGAACGGTGGACTGTTGTCCACGTTTATGTTCTAGAGTCATATGGTGTTACGTGTGAGCCTCGACATCACAACGTCTGTGTGCCACCAGCATGTCCCGCTACGATGTTGTTGAGGATACCTGACGCTCAGCCACCCACCAATCACAGTTGTTACTCAGTTTGCAGAAGCTGACGACGAAGGGGTTGGTTATGTGAGATTTTGACGTTTACTTAATTTCATTGATGCGTCAGTCAACAACACACTGCGCTGCAATTGGCTCGAGTTACACACGCCAGAATGGGGGGCGGTACTAATGGTTGAGGTTTTTGCCCCAGCATTGGAGTGACCAATCACCTGTTGGGTCGATCAAAAGTCTGAAGCTAATACGAGCAAGCTAACTGAGGTTATAATGAGAACTTTGTAAAAAAAGACACATTTGAAGGTTTTCAGCGTCATTACGTTCGATTGTGGTATGAGTGTCCGCCCTGAGAGATCGTGGGTTCAAATAAATGATAAATGATCCGCACTTGTATAGCGCCTTTCAGAGTAATGCCTGATTCATGCTTCTCCGTCAGCTCCAACAGGGAGAGACACGCACGCATGGACGGAGACATTTTGCTCTCATACTTCTCCGTCTCCTGGGGAGTGTTGCAAAGCAATTCCCCGCCAGGACAACAGAGGGTGTAGCGCTGTTCTGTGATATCCTGTCATGTATCCGGTCCAAGATAGTGTGTTTATATTGTGTTTTTTTTGTATATAAGAGACTTTTTAACACGGACAAATTTGTCTCTCATTCTCCTCCACCTCTTCATGCGCTCGCCACCTCTAAACCCACGTTTCCTGTCATTTCCGTCCACAAATAAAACTCTTGCTGCACATCTTTTCACTCCTCCAGTCACGGGAATTAAACGTTCATATTTTTAGAGTTTTTTCGCGAGGTATTCTTCAAGCTTCTCCGTGTCTGCCGCTAGTTATCCTCGGCTCTCTTTATGTTTTTGATGGCGCAATGGCGGCGGTGTAGAGGACAGCGGTGCCCTGACCAATCACAAGCTTGCATTCTCCGTCTCGACGGACGGATGTTTAGAAAAGAGAGCTCGACTCCGTACGTCCTTGCGGGGCTCTCCAGCAGGCCTGCAAGGACGGATAATGGCATTGCATGTCTCCGCACTGACGCATACGCAGAAGCATGAATCAGGCTTAAGGACTCCAAAGCGCTTTACACTACAGTGTATCATTCATCCATTCACACACACATTCACACACTGATGGTGATGAGCTACGATGTAGCCACAGCTGTCCTGGGGCGCACTGACAGAGGCAAGGCTGCCGAGCACAGGCGCCACCGGTCCCTCCGACCACCAGCAGCAGGCAAGGTGGGTTAAGTGTCTTGCCCAAGGACACAACAGCAGAATTCTCTGTCCGGAGCTGGGACTGAACTGGACCACCCGCTCTACCTGTTGAGCTACTGCTGCCCAAGTCCACGGTTGGGTCATACCAGACTCTAAAGATGGGACCCAATGCTTCTCCGCTTGACACTCAACATTAAGGGGTTGGATTGGTGGGCCAAACCACCAAATGGTTCCCGAGCGCGGCCATGTCTGCAGCTCACCTCTCCCAAGAAATGGGTCGAATACGGAGAACAAATTTCACCAGTGTTGGATGACGAATGGGACTTTAACCTTTTAATGCCAATCTTTGTTCGAGGTAGGGATGGGTACCTTTGACATCTGAATCGATTCGGTACTAATTCCCGGTACCTAGGAATCGATACCGGTACTTAACGGTACCAATTTTAGATACTTTTGAGTGTTTAATATTTTAATTCTCTTTTATAATTAAATATATATTTTTCTCAATATGTAAACATATTTGATAAATATCACAATAAATAACATACAACTGTTTGTATTTTAACATCGTCCTTGTAGTTTTATAAGCTGATAATTAAACTGAAGCAAACATCTTTACTGTGAACTAAATTTACTGTGTATCTTCATTCCTTTTGCCGTCTTTTTTCATTTGATTTTTCCTACTGGGAAGTTAGAATTTCCGAGGAGAAAGCGAACGCACCATTAGCTGATAACAATGGTGGCAATGGAAGCTAATTTATCAAGCTAACGTTATCTTAAACAGTTTATTTAGCTACTGGAGCAGATTAAAATGATGATGCCTCACACTTAGATCGTTGTCGCTGGTTTCATCTTCACCCGTCGCATTTAGTAAAGTGAAGCCAAACTTTAGAGCGCGTTCATGTTCTTCTAGTCGGAAATTCGGAGTTCCGAGGAGAAGGCGAACGCACCATTAGTGAAACGGAAGCTAACAAATCAAGCTAACATTATCTTAAACATTTTATTTACCTACCGGAGCAGATTAAGATGAGGATGTCTCACTTAGATCGTTGTCGCTGGTTTCATCATCACCCAGTTACCCATCACATTTAGTGAAGTGGACCCAAGCTTTAGCGTGCGTTCTTTCTACCATGCTGCTCTGTTTACAACTGGCTTGCAGCGACCGACGACATAACGCTCTTGCGCATGCGCAGCTGTCTTGGCAAGTTCTCGTTATGAAGGACGTGTACTGAAACGAGGCACCGTTTCAAATGACGTGAATCGGTGCTCAGTCTGTACTATGGAATTCGGTCGGTACCTTAAAAAGTACCGAATTCGGTACCCATCGCTAGTTCGAGGTGGCTCTTTTCTGTCACTGAGGTGAGATCGTCATTATTTATAATTTCCGAGATATTTCTTAATTGCTTATTTAAGTTATGGACTCCATCGCCCTTCACAGCACTATCGTTTACACACTGGTGGTGATGAGCTACATCGTAGCCACAGCTGTCCTGGGGCACACTGACCGTAGTGAGACAGTCGGCACCACCAGCCCCTCCGACCCAGAAGACGTTATGCTGGTGTGGTGCTGCTGGTCTGACCCGGAAGAATGTAGCTCATGTCAAACGCTAACTGGTTTACCAGACGCCAGGAGGGCAGCATAACTCAAACTGTGGTTCAGGTTATCTGGATATTTAATTATTCCTCACCGTTTGTCCCCCAAAGGGATGAAATGGTTACTGGTTTTAATGGTTACATGTAAACGTTCACCAGGTAATTAAATGAATACATTTCAATGACAGAAAGTAGAGAAACTGGAACTACAGCAGCTGTTTCTCCACGATTCCCTCTCTCGTACAGGTGAACCAGCTCCAGCACGAGCTCTGTAAAAAGGATGAGCTTCTGCGGATTGTGGCCAGCGCCTCGGAGGAGAGCGAGAATGACTCCAGCGTGTCCACCCCGCCACTGCACCCTCAGCCACTGGGAGGGACCGCCACTGCCGCCCTCAGCCAGCTGGAGTCTCTGCAGAACAAGCTGCAGGAGCTGGAGGAGGAGAACCAGGCTCTAAGAACGGAGGTACAAGAGTCTTCTGGTCACCCTTCACACCAGGTCATCCTCAAATTTGCTCTGCAGCTGAACACAAACCTCTCTGCTGTCCTGACTCCCTCCAGGCCTGTCAGCTAAAGAGGGACACGGTGACGTATGAGGAGAAGGAGCAGCAGCTTGTGAGCGACTGCGTCAAAGAGCTCCGTATGTCCCGTCTCCAATCACGCACACAACATGGAACCAATCACAGGAGAAGAATCTACTTTTAACTTGAGATGATTTGTCTCAGGCGAGTCCAACAGCCAGATGGTGTCTCTGACAGACGAGCTGTCCCAGAAGAACGTGGAGCTGCTCAGACACCAGGAAGAGATCGCCCAGCTGCTCTCCCAGATAGTAGAGCTTCAGCACAGAGTCAAGGAGGTGAGAAGACCTCTCTCTAGTTGTTACGTCCCAAACAGAAGCTTCATGTTGTGTTGTTTTATCTGCAGCTGGCTCTGGAGAAAGAAGAGCTGAGGATCCACCTCCAGGCCTCCAAGGATTCTCAGAGGCAGCTCACAGCAGAGGTCCGAACCCACGGGTCAGCCAGGATGCATCAAAGTAGTAATGGCTGCTCGTTTTAGTGTTCGTGTGTGTGTGTGTGTGTGTGTGTGTTTGCTGCAGCTGAATGAGCTGACAGAGAGGAACGCCGAGTGTGCAGAAATGCTCCACGAGTCGCAGGAGGAGATCAGAGAGCTCCGGGGTAAAGGCGCTCCTTCTGCTGGGACGAGACGCCACTTCTCCTACGGTCTTTACCCCATGGTGAGAGAGGTTTACGACGTGATAAACGACTCGTTATTAATCATCAATAACACGAAAAGGTGAGGGTGCCGCTATGATTATGCTTGCAGGACTCCTTGGCAGCGGAGATCGAGGGCACCATGAGGAGAGAGCTGAGTGTGGAGGAGGAGACGGCCTTCCAGGACCAAAGGTTGGAAATCCAGACAATTGTTCTTATCGCTTGATTCTTCTTCCTTACGTTTTTCTTACAACAGAAGCTTTTCTGATTTGGTTTCTGATGTTTCATGTCGAGTTTTTATTTTCCAGAATTTCCCAGAAGCGAATTTTCCAGACTGTTCATTCCGTCAACTCCTCGGCGTCTCGCTCTCCTCTGGCTGGCGCTCCCATCCCTGGTTCTGGACAGAGCTCTCCGGTCATGACGGCCCAGCCCTTCCAGTCCACTCAAGGGTAAAAAGATAGCTGGTGTTGTCTTGCTTTTAGCCTGACGTGGAGTTCATGAAATTTGCGTTTGCAGTGAGGAGGTGCGCATTTGCCGGCCCGGATCACCGGGAGGTAACGACCTCACCAAAGCACTCCACCGCCTGTCGCTTCGGAGGCAGAACTTCCTGTCGGAGCATCAGTTCTTCCAGGCAGAGCGTGAGAAGAAGCTGCGGGCAGACGGAGAGGGCAGCGGCTGCAGCTCGCCCCTGGGCAGCACGCTTTCCTCTTTCTCCAACCTGTCGGATCTGTCGGTCACTTCCACCGTTTTTAAAACGTTCCTGCCTGAGAAACTCCAGATTGTCAAACCGATGGAAGGTAATGTTTAGCTAGTAGCATCGGAAACGTGTCAGACTCTGTGTAGCGTAAACGGCTTAAGAAAGACGAGTGGATTTAAAAAGACTTGATCTGAGAAAGGATTTGAACTTTAATGATTAATTCAAGAGGAGCTGTTAGCCTGTTGATGTTCAGCTCTTCTCAGGTTGGAATGACTAATTAGGTGTGATTACATAGAAGGTTCCCTATATAGTCAAAAATGTTTCCAGATTGATAAATCAGAATAAAAGGCTAAAGGTATCACTAGCGATGGGTACCAAATTCGGTACTTTTTAAGGTACCGACCGAATTCCATAGTACCGACTGAGCACCGATTCACGTCGTTTCAAATGGTGCCTCGTTTCGGTACCCGTTCATAACGAGAACTAGCCTAGACAGCTGCGCATGCGCAAGAGCGTTATGTCGTCGCTAGCTGCGAGCGAGCTGTAAACAGAGCAGCATGGTAGAAAGAACGCACGCTAAAGCTTGGGTCCACTTCACTAAATGTGATGGGTAACTGGGTGATGATGAAACCAGCGACAACGATCTAAGTGAGACATCCTCATCTTAATCTGCTCCGGTAGGTAAATAAAATGTTTAAGATAACGTTAGCTTGATATGTTAGCTTCCGTTTCGCTAATGGTGCGTTCGCTTTCTCCTCGGAACTCCAAATTTCCGACTAGAAGAACATGAACGCGCTCTAAAGTTTGGCTTCACTTTACTAAATGCGACGGGTGATTGGGTGGTTTGGGCATCTGGTCAGGATGCCTCCTGGACGCCTCCCCGGGGAGGTGTTTCGGGCATGTCCTGCCGGCAGGAGGCCCCCAGGTCGACCCAGGACACGTTGGAGAGGTTACATCTCCAATCTGGTCCGGGAACGCCTTGGGGTCCTGCCGGAGGAGCTGGTGGAGGTGGCCGGGGAGAGGACGGTCTGGAGCTCCCTAATTGGGATGCTGCCCCCGCGACCCGGACCCGGTTAAGCGGAGGAAGACAATGACAATGACCTTTAGGACCAGCCAATCACAGTGCTCCACAGGTGTAGAGAAATGGTGGGCGGGCTAACCACCAGAGCTGCAATGGAGAAAAACTACAAAGATGCTGTCGGCTCCAGAACGGCACTCATCAGAAAAGGCTTTGGCGTCAACTTTGAATGATTTGGACTTGTGGGTTCTGAGAAGGCTTCCTTTTTATAACTCACCCTAATGAATTCACCCTGCCTTCACGGATTAGCAAGCTAATATTAGCTTTGTTGTTTTTGTTCAATAGTTTATAAGAAAATAAATGGCCTGTTCTTTTTTTTTTTTTTCTTTACTAAAAATCTCAGATAAAGGTACTTAAGCTGGCTTCAAATTCAATTTTTTATATTTTTTGGTTAGGCTCGCTGACGCTCCACCACTGGCAGCAGCTCGCCAAACCTCACCTCGCCACCATCCTGGACCCGCATCCCGGCATTGTAACGAAGGGGTTCCGGCCACTGGCTCAGGAGGCGGTGTACCACCTGTCTGACATGGAGGAGGATGAGGAGGCCGAAGAGCACAGTGGAGTCCTCGAGAAAGGAGCGGCAGAGAGGTGTAAGGAAGAGGGTGATGATGAGGAGGAGGAAGGCGGGATTACCTTCAATGTGTGCTGCTCGTCAACACCAGAAAGCAGAACGGACAGACGCCACTTGGCACCACCTGGTTCCCCCACACCTCTGACATCATCAGAGACACTTTCCACTTCCTCCCTGGTCTGCTCGGACGTCTGTTTGGTGTCTCGTCCTGTCACCGAGACGTCCGGTCCATCTCCTCACCCCATTCCAGGAACGCCCGAAGCAGCCGTCCAATCACAAAGTCAGACCGTCCTTTTAACAGCAACAGCATCCTCTTGTGGTACCGTATGACTTGACCTAGATGTTAAACGTGTTATTTTCATAACCAGAGTGATCGTTTCTCATAGTCCTTGTTCTGTGTCCAGTCCCAAATCCAGGCAAGAGTCAGAGCTCCACCTTCTCAACCTACACCTTCACAACATGTCGGATTTTACACCCGACCGACGTCACGCAGGTCACTTCCAGGTAGATCCTTTTGAAGGGGAAAAGGTCAAACGTAGCACTTCAGACGCTCGTATACGTGTAGATAACTGTTAGCTCCACCCCTTAGGTCCTGTTTATCTTTACTACCAACTCTTCAACTGTTGTCTGTCTTTTTCAGTGCACCATCATCTGTTCTGGCCAATACACCCAGTTCCATGAGGACTGGTCCCAGTACCCCTGTGACTCCCTGCAGGCTGAGTCTGGGCGACTCCTTCCCTCCTCGACGACCTCCTGCACCTTCCAGTGGTTTGGCTAAGCTAGTTCTGGAGCGGGGTATTTCTGCACAAGTGTCCGTCGATACCCCGTGTGCTTCGGCGATGCCCGCCCCACGACGGCCCCTGTTGCGTCTCTTGCCGAACACGCCTGCTAACTCCCCCTCCCACACACCTGTCCCGTCTCCAGCACCGACGGAGTCTCGCCAACACCCAGCGGATAATTTCCTAGCCTCGCGGCCCGCAGAGCTTTTCCTCCAAGACGTCTATGGGTTGAATCTGGGTCGCGCCTCACACCCCGACCTACCAAGCCCTTCCCAGGAAACCACAGCCTTTGTCCCGTCCTCCAAATCCAATCGATCCAAGCCTGCCCCGGTTAGTGTTGGTTTGGTAGAAAGGGTTCGGCGGTTGGGTTTCGCTAAGGTGCTGCACAGTTCAGAATCGGATGCTTCTGTGCCACGCCAGAATTCTGCCACCCTGGTGTCTGCAGGCGGGGGAAGCCTGATGGACGGCTTGAGGCGCAATCAGAGCCTCCCAGCTATGATTGGTGCTCGAGCAGGTAGTAAGTTGGCCCCGCCTCCTCATCCCACCACCCTGGCTATACCTCCACCAGCATGGGGGAACCTTAAAGAGCGACGGCGGCACCTTGCCTCCATCTCTCATCCACCGAGAAGTTCAGCGAAACACTAAGGAATCCGTTGGACCGGACAATCAGACAGTCCTTCTCTTCCCTAATGCCTTTGCAGGGAATCGGTGGACGGAACAAACCCCCACCCCCCCTTTTGAAGCACAATTTAACCATTTAAGGTGTCTCTGTGTGTACATGCCTGCCACGATGCTAGCACCTTAGCTAGACCTCGGCTGAGTAGTTCTCTTGTGAGGCCCCAGGTGCTCAAGGGTAGAAATGACAGCATGCAAGTGTTGGAAGGTTTGTGGAAGTCGACGATAAAAGGGTCAGGAAAGTTTGTGAATGAAAGTGAGAATGGGTTTGATTCTGTTGGAGGGTAAAAGAAGGTGGCGGGAAGCTCCCGGGGTCTTGATGTTCTAAGGGCTTGTTCTGTAAAAGCTTTAGTCTGTAGTCGTACAGTTATACCAGCCGTTCTGCTCCAACAAGCCTTCAGCGTGGATGAAGGAACGTTCTAGGACTGCCAGTCTAACCATGCACTTAGACCAAGCCTATGAACACGCCAGTATTATTGTTAGCATTCGTCCATCGTGCACGAGTGTGTGGTTACCGTCCAACCGTCTGCATGAAGCTCAAACTTTCCTACGTGTTCCAAGCATGCATCTGTTGGGCGTCAAGTGGGACCGGGTTGAAGGTTGGGTCAGAACCAAACCGGACAAAAACAAAGGGACTTTCTTCTCGTTCAGGACCGTTTGTGTGTTTTAAATAGTATGAGGCCTTAAATAGAAGCGAGCACTGTTCAGGTTTGAGTTTCTGCTAAGCCGTGTCGTTTTGTTGCACTCGGTGGGACGACCGCCCACAAGTTCCAAGATACGTTTTGTTAAACTTCAGGTTTGGTTTGAGAAAAAAGGGACAATAACTATAAATAATTTAAATGGTAAATCTCATTTCTGCTTGGCTTTTGGTGTGACGGGGAAGTGGGTTAAACCCAGAGATGTGTGCAGGACAATTACTGGCCACTAGGTGGAAGTGTTGTAATATCGACCTACCTGCATCAGAAACAAAAACATAAGCTTCAAATATAACACTTATCTCCTACCAAACCTCACATCCTCCATGTTTAACCTTATTTTCCATGACTACTATTTAATCCATAACATCGTTATTTTTGTGTCTCTAACAATGTAAGCTAACGTTTGAGCCATGAAGGGAATCCTTGTTAAAGGAAAACTTTCATTTTCAAAAGACTTCTGTTTTGCACTTATTTTAAACTAATTTTAAAGGGAAAAGCTAAATATTTGTGTGATTTGAGCTAGGGAAGCAGTGATTTCATGGTTTAGATGTGCTCTAGTTGTCCGATCCGGTCTTCCTCGAGAGGCTGGATGTTCAACTTTGTGTTTTCTGTGTTTGAAAGCTAATACTCCTAAACGGATCCAGTTGTTGCCCTTGTTTGGCTGCCTCGCTTTCTTTTTTATAAATAAAGTGACAGTAAGAAAAAACCGAATGGTTTATTGTGACTCAGAAAAAGTGAACAAGTCTAGAATTTTTTTATGGTCCTACAAATGCATTTACTTAAAGAGCAAGTCACCCCCAAATCAACTTTTTCTTGCTGATAAACTATATAAATGTGTAACTAATTGTGCTGCAGACACGTGTCGTCAATAATTTGATACTTCAGTGCATCTTAGTTCAAATTTAAATATTCTGCCTAAAACTGTCAGTGTTGTGCTGTTGTCAGGTAAAAACTCTGCACTGCATTTGAATTTAAATTTGCCACCGCTATTGGCTAAGAGGTATGATATGATGTAAACTGGTCTATTATGATGTCACAATGCCGTTGTGAGCCTGTGTGTGTGTATGTGTTAGTGGCTCCGCCCTCTAGGTCTGCTAGGCAACAGCATTTGTTGCATTTTTCAAACATGAAGAGGGAGTGAAGTAAGTTTCTTGTAGGGGGTGACTTGCTCTTTAATGTCTTCCAGTTATTTCTGTGGTCAGGACGGTTTGAAGAAGTCAGACTTCCTGAGTTTGTAATCGGCACCAGTACTTTAGGTGAATCCAGTCGTCGATGCACTCACAGAGGACAAAGCTTGATGCTGTCCATGCTTGATGAGAACTGTCCTAGGGCGAAGTCTAGACCAACCCCAACACCACTCCCCACCCCAAAGGTGGCGTAAAGTGGCTGGGTGAAGTTGGCCCTGAAGGTGTGAAGGTGCATCATGTTGTCCGCCACGCTGTAGAACGCCAGCGTCCCCGCGGACAGGTCCACGTAGATTCCCACACGAGGGGAGTAGGTGACGGGGATGTCCCGCTTCTCGTTGTCGTGCATGGCTGAGCAGCAGGTGTCTGACAACTCCAGGGTCCACGACTGGGCGTTGTAGCCAAGACCTGACCTGGCATCTGCCCCCTTTCTGGACAGTGCCCCATAGGCCACGCCCATAGAGGAGCCACGCCCTCTCCACTCCACCTCCCAATAGGAGCGCTGGGCACACAGCGGGCTCTGGCACATCACCTGGGTCCAGCCATCAAAGCGTTGAGGGGTGTCCGGGTAAGGCTGTGCCGCCACCTGCAGAGTGGCTTTGGTGTCACCTTCAGAGAGAACCAGGCGTTTGTGGGCGGAGTTAGGGTCCAGGGTCAAACTCGTCGAATCTAGAAATGATTTAATGAACAGTGACGTTTAAATACTTGTGAAAATGGAATAATTTGGCCTCAACAGACTGAGACTCACACTGCAGGAACTCCTCTCTGGACCTTGGTTCTGGTGCCTGAATGCTGTCGATGCTGATTTCTCTCACTGGGAAATCAAAACAGGAAGTGAGTGCACAAGGAGATCGAAGCATTTTTGTTTCCTTGTGTCATTTAATAGAACTTTTCTTTCTTCTACAGAGGGCTGAAGACGAAACCACGTCGACTCACATGCAGGGAAAGCAGGAGATTGAATCATGGCGTTTGGTGTGGGCGTGTCCAGAAACAGAGTGGGGTTAACTGATCAATGACAAACCGTTGTTAGACACCAAATGGACAAATGATGGATTTTTACCAACAAACACAGATGTAACATTATGCACTCTTACTCTCAGTTTGTGTTTCAGTCACAGCAGACATGCCCCCTGTCGTATTCACAGAAGAGATATGTTACTTTATAGACCATATTTTAATACATGTGCAGTGCTCTCTGGTAGGAATGAATGCCTTGTAAGTCGTATTCTGGGACAACAAAAGCTCAGATGCTCCAGCTGAAGTTAGCTAGAGGAGAAAGTAGCTTCAGATGACATGATTTAGAGTCTTATTTCCTCATATTTGGACGTCTTGCCTCTGATAGGCTAATAGCAATGTGACTGTACCACTGACTGTTTGCTTTGCAATGTTGATGTTTTATCGCCACAAATAACACAAGGCTGAAGGAGTTCTGCCATGTGGTGGTGTTGCTAAAGCTAACAGTTAGCTTCTACTAGCCAAGATGCACTCTGCTGTTCTATTTGGTATGGCTCCACCCTTTAACCCTCGCCCATTGGGAGTTAGTCTCCGACAACAACCAATGACTGAAGAGCTTTAATGTACGCCCGCCTAACAGGTGGGCCCTGGTCCTATATAGGTATGAGGACCAAGGGTCGTCTCCTTTTAATTCTTCAACTAGACCTGACTGCAACTGACCTCGGGATAACCCCACCCTCCCCCACGCAGTCTTTCCTCACAGCTGCTCAGTTTATCTTATGCCCGCCGCAGCTGTGTTGAGCTTGGTTTATGCTTGACGCATTTACTTTCCGCTTGGTGATGCGGCTCGCGGATGGAACGCGCTTCACAACTTGCAGCGTTTATGGTTCATGCGGCTTGTCTCTGCGGTGAGCCAATATTCTCCCAAACTGTAGGGGGCAGCATGGAGCTCTACGGCATGTATACAACACTACACCATAGTAGAAGTAGAAATTACTGTTGTTGACAACATGGCATTCCAGCATTTTTTAACAGCGTGCTCGTCTTTTCCGACAGTGCGAGCTATTTCTCTCCAAGAATTATTAACAACATGTTGATCACGGTGCTCTTTGAGAGCCGAATCATACAAATGTCCGTATTTACAAACCTCTGCCATACTTTTTCCGCGTCTGACCGTCCGCGTGGTTAGAAGATTTCCTAGGTGCGCGGTGCGGAAAGTTTGGGCCGTGTGGAGGCGCGGTGGAGGGGCGTGGTTGTTAATATGACGCAATTTTGCCGCGCGGACCTCGCGGACGCGACAAGCATAAACCAAGCTTTAGGGTGTTGGGGGCTTTTTTTTGTTACTTGTTAACCAGTGGGCATTTACTACATCATGCTCCGCCTTTAACCCAATGGGCGAGGCTTGAAGGGCGGAGCCATACGAAATAGAACATTGGTTACCTTTGTACCCCCAGATTCTATGAGTATGGTGGAGCCCTTTAAGCATCTGGCCCACTGGTTCTGGGGTTCTTTGAACTTTTGGAGACGATCCTTGGTCCTCATACCTATTTATAGGACCAGGGCCCACCTGTTAGGCGGGCGTACATTAAAGCTCTTCAGTCATTGGTCGTTGTCGGAGACTAACTCCCAATGGGCGAGGCTTAAAGGGCTCTGCCATACTCATAGAATCTGAGGTTACAATGGTAACCAACGTTTCCTGGAGGCTAAACAAACGACAGCCTTCCTCGTTGCGAGTCAAGATGGCTGAGACCATGAGTGTTAAGTGTGATGTAGATCTGTCAGACTTTTCTGAACTGAGCGTTTGTCTGCCTGCTCGTTAAACTCCCGACAGATAATTTAGTAGGTGAAAAATGGTTTCTCAGTGAACCTGATCTTTAATAAAACACTTGTTTTCACTGAAACTAGTCTTTCGTGAAGTTTTTGTCCCATTTAAATCAAGCCTTACATGGACTTCCTCCTGCAGGTGCTGTGCTGTCAATCGGCGTGGCTTGCTGGGTGCCGCGGCGGGAGCGAAACAGGCTGCTGATCGATGCCATCCGGCTGAAAGCTGAGCACACCAGAAGAAGAAATCGTGTAAAGTCGGACGCTGGCTGGGCTGTTGGGTGGCAGCAAAAGCTAATGTGAACATACCTCCTGTTGTTGCTGGAGCTGGGTTGGCTGGAACTGGAGTAGGAGTTGCCACAGAGGCAGCTGGTCTCTGACTAGACCTGGTCCAGAGAGACTGGGACTCTCTGCGGCTTGGAGTCGGACTAGGTGTGGGGCTGGGCCTGGGACTGGGCCTGGGACTGGGCCTTGACTCTCTCGCTGTTTTGAAGAAGTTGCAAAATTATTTGTAGGAAGTAACGACAGCCATGGACGTAGTTTTGACTTTAGAAGGGGGGGGGGGGGGTCTTTACAGTAAGTATACATAATTATGCATAAAATTACAGCCTAGAGGCTCTTTCATTAATGTCAGGAATGCAGAACTGTAAAGTACACAGGTGGCAGTAAAAAAAAAACATACTTTCAATTCAACTTTGTTTTTCACATTTTCGTTCCTACTCATTGTCGCCATTTTACACATATTTTTTGAATATCTGATCAATAGAGTTCATTTACATCAGATTCTAGCCTAACTCTTGGTCCTAGTGCTCAACCAGTCAACTTAACTCATTCACTGCATTTTGTTACTGCGTGGGCGTCGGAACGAGCCCCCGCACCATGAGAACAAACATCTCAGCTCTAAAGCCGATCTTCATCCGCGTACGTCACAGGTCACGTGATCAGGAAGCAGAAAATCCATGTGTTAGGAGATCATTTTGGGCCGCTGCTGTAAAAAAAAAGTGAGGTGCGAACCAGAAAAGTGTCTGCCGATCACAACGCTCGAAACGCGCGGATTCTTCCTGATGTAAGAGGCGAGTCTCCTCTTTGTCTGGTTGTTTTGGCGTTGACATAATCCTAGCGTGCAGCAACGTTCTGTCACTCTTAAAAAAAAACAGTAAAAACGGTGAGAAACGCTGGCATCGAATGAGTTAATATAGCGTGATATTTTGATTGATATTGTTTTAGGATGGTAAAAAGTGCAAGGGACAAAAATTGACTTTGGAAAAAATGGGGGGCACATGTCCCCCCCCCCCCCCCCAAAAAAAAATTACGGCCATGACGGCAGCATTGTTAAAAGGAAGTGGTCCAGCCTACTTACTGGTCTCTCTCTCCTCTCTTCTCGGTCTATTCCCCAGTCTGGGCGGGCTTGTGTTCCTTCTATCTGCAACATGCAAATTCATCTTATAAAACTCACTTTGCTGCTTCTGCTAAACGTGTCCAAGAACACAGCAGCGGCGGCAATCTCACCTCGGGGTGCGTTTCTGCTCCTTACATCATTACTTTTAAGACCTGGACAAGAAAAGTGTTACAGTTGAGTTAGGTTGCCGCCTTTGGCAAAAACAAATCTGAGCATGCACTACCTTGTCTGTCTGTACTCCGGCCCCCCACGGAAACGCTTGGAGCTGCGAGAAACGAAGGTAGTCGTGAAATGGAAACACACTAATGAGGTGTCACGATGAAAAAAAATGTAGACAAGAGGAACCTGAGGAACGTGTGTTGGTGTTCCGGGAACTTTTACCAGCAAACACTGGAAGGAAAAGGAAATACTTTGGTCAGATGGGTGAAAAATATCATCTTATGTTTTATTCACAGTTCAGAAGGAAGCTCACGTTTCAGAATGTTCCCCTTTGGTCCAGCCCCTTTAGCTGGACGAAATAAACAAACATTAGTATTTTAAAACATGACCTGATTCACTTGCCAGGACTTAACTTACAATTTCCCAAAGTGAACAGCGTGGTGTCGTTGACTGAAAGATAACGAGATTATGAAATCAACATTTTCCTTTGAATGAAATAGAGTAACGAGGTAAAACCAGGGCATCTGCAGGTTTAAGAGAGCCAAATTTAAGACTTTTTTTTAGACCTTTTTTAAGGCCACTTTGACCAAATTTAAGCTATTTAAGCAGGGCAGCAGTAGCTCAACAGGTTGAGCGGGTAGTCCGGTAATCGGAAGGTTGCAGGTTCGATCCCAGCCCCGGTCCTTGGGCAAGACACTTAACCCACCTTGCCTGCTGGTGGTGGTCGGGGGGACCGGTGGGACCTGTGCTCGGCAGCCTCGCCTCCGTCAGTGCGCCCCAGGGCAGCTGCGGCTACATCGTAGCTCATCATCATCAGTGTGTGAATGCGTGTGTGAATGGATCAATGATACACTGTAGTGTAAAGCGCTTTGGAATCCTTACTCTGACAGGCGCTATACAAGTGCGGGTCATTTATCATTTTTAAAAATTAAATTTAGGCTATAATTTCCAGCTTTTGCCTGGAACCGGTGCTAACCACGCTGCGATCATGGGATTAATCATCCAGTTACCATTAAACTTCCACTTCCCCATGGCGCAAGCTCCCACTAGCTTAACCAGCTAACGTGCTCATCTAAAAATAGCCCCCTTACACAACCAACTGAACGTGTACAGTTCCGCTTATGTCAATATCATACACAAAAAAAGCTGAACACTAACTAGAAATTCACGAAAATGTCATAGAAATAAAATAATCTTGTTTATTGGGTCTTTGGTCATTTAAGATCTCTGGAATCCGTATTTGTCATTTTTAAGGATTTTTAAGGCCTTAAATTTGGAAAAGCTAATTTGAGACTTTTTAAGGACCCGCAGATACCCTGAGTTTAGAGTGTCGGGACGGACCTTGTTTGGTGATCTTGCCGAGTTCTTGGTTACACAGATCCTCGATTCGCTCTCCGAGGGCAAGGATCACATCTCGAATGGGCTCAAAAGAAGCATCCTGCTTGACATGAACAGCTGGCAGGTCCCCAACCTCGAGAGGACTTGTCATGGTGTCACACGTCTGCAGGACAGTGTGGAAATTAACATTCAGATAGGAGATACCTTTGGTAGAAGACCAGTTCTGCAACTCGGCAGCTACCAAAAGCTGCAAGCTTTAGACTCAGATTCAGCTTTATTGTCACTGAACCAAAGTCCTGGAACAAGGAAATTCGACACCACAGCACAACCTGACCAAGAGGTATCTGCACACAAACGTATAGTCAAGACAGGTCCAGGCGGGCCATGAGAGCAGCTGCTGCACGGCGCTCTCAGATGTCCTTAACGAACCAGCCATACCTGCAGGTAGTAGATGTTGTCTTCGCAGCTTGCCAGGTCCTTCATTTCCGTGTCCCTCTTCTGTCGCTCCTTGATCTCAGCCTCCAGGTTCTCAGCGACCTCCTGGGCCTGGTTCATCTTCTCCAGGCTGGCCTGATCCATCACCTCCTCTATGAGCTCCTGCAGTCGTTCCATGGAGCGCTGCAGCTCGGAGAGCATGTTTTCTGTGTCGTCGTGAACCTTCTCTGCAGACCGCTGTAATGGCATGGGAAACACACCAGAGGATCAAGACCGACACAACCTTTAGTTTGGGTTACTGTTATCTGTCAGGCATGTTCATGAAACCCTCCCTGGGACCTACCTTCACTCCCTCCATCACCCTCTTCATGTCTTTCAGCTCCTGCTCTCTGACCTTCAGCTTTTGGTGGTTCTCTGCCTGGATTTCTGACAGCAGCTTCTGCAGACAGACATGGCGACACATGAGATGAAAGAGGCAAGCGACTGCGTGACGCAGCGGAGCTGCAAGAACGGACGGGAATGTAGTTAGGAATGTCTTCAGCCTGGATTTAGTGTCTCCGCCACACAAAAGGAGGGGAGAACCACACCAGAAATGGAAAGTTGTTAGACACAATGGGCACCTCAGACGAAGAGAGACGCGTCAGTTGGCAAAAGCAGTTTATCGCTGACACCAAACAGTCCCCATGATGACTCGTGTACCTGTCTCTCCAGTCGTTCGGCCTTGGTGGACACGCACTCGTGCTCTTTATGTTGGTTGCTGGTGCACAGCCAGCAGACAAACATCTTGCACTGGCGGCAGAAGAACTCCTGCAGGTACTTGTGCTGGGTGCAGATCTTCTCAGGCAGATTGCTTATGGGTGGGATGAGCTCGTGAGCCTTAAGGGACTTCTTGGTCTGGTGGGGCTTCAGGTGGACCTCACAAAAGGAGCTCATACACACCAGACAGCTCTTCACGGCAGCACACTGCTGTCCTTTACACATGTCACACAGCACCGCAGCAGTGGAAAGCCTAGGTCTGGATCTCGAGGCCCCCCCACGGACGCTCCGAATAGAATCCCGTACCTCGGATTTGAGAGCCCCTTTGCGGAGCTGCTCCACAGCCTCTGCTAGCATGGTGTTCCTGGATAGAGAGGGCTTGGGGCAGAAGGTCTGCCGGCACTGGGGGCAGCTGTAGATCCCTTTGGGGTCATCCTTGCTCCAGAAGTCCCTGATGCAGTCCATGCAGTAGCTGTGGCCGCAGGGGATGGTGACCGGATCGTTCGGTAGGTCAAGACACACGGGGCAGTTGAACTGCTCCTCCGTCCACAGCTTCGTGCTCATGATGAAGTCGTCAAACACAGGAAGCAGAAAGGGAGATCCAGGAGAGCTGGAGGAGATTTCAAGAAACGTCTAGAAGCTCGATGACAAACAGCAAGGCAGAGGTGAAGGGGAGCAGTGTGTTGCCGAGATTCGCAGCAGGAAAATGATGTGTCTCAGGTGAGAGAAGCCTAAAAAGGAAGTGGGTGGGGCCAGAGCCACCGGGCAGGTTGAGCTGGGAAAACAGGTGTTGGAGGGAAACTGCTGAATACCAGTAAAGGTGTGATTGACCAGCTATTGTAATATTCCATCTTTACATGAGAGGAACCAACATGCTTATGTTACTTGAGTCACCCTACCAACACGCCAGCTGACATCAGCGTAAAAAACAACTAAAACAAATTCATTTAAACTCTTCTGAAACTGAAAATATACGTAAAACGTCTTCAACATGTGAGCATTTAAATGCTTAGGCTGTATTTTTTATGATTTGACCAATTACACCCAGACATTAAAGAGCAAGTCACCCCCAAATCAGCTTTTTTTCCTGATAAACTACATAGATGCGTGTCTAATCGTGCTGCAGACACGTGTAGTCAATAGTTTTGCACTTTAGTTAAAATTTAAATTTTCTGCCTAAAACTGGCAGTGTTGTGCCGTTGTCAGGTAAAAACTCTGCACTGTATTTAAATTTAAATCTGCCACCGCTATTGGCTAAGAGGTATGCTATGATGTAAACTTGTACATTATGATGTCACAATGTCATTGTGAGCCTGTGTGTGTGTATTTGTTAGTGGCTCCGCCCTCTCGGTCTGCTACGCAACATCATTTGTTGCATTTTTTAAACATGAAGAGGGAGTGAAGTAAGTTTCTTGTAGGGGGTGACTTGCTCTTTAAGGTGAGGTCAAGGGTCGAATCACAAATATCATCAACGTGACCGTGAAGAAGGAAAATGTGACCATTTATGGCCACCGGTGACTCAGGCTTCTTGGGTTTGTAGATGAATGTACACCGAAGAGCGGCCCTGGACCCATCTGTGGATTTCTTTTTTGTGGTCCCCGGTTGCATTAGAAACAGGTGACTTTTTCCTCACCAGCAAACGTTTTCACAAGTTCTCAAACATCCCAGTTATCGGCACTGAGATCATGTTTGTGTTCTGAAGAAAAATTACATAATTTTAAGAATGGGGGGGAGAAAAAAGCTCATTTTATACTGGGTATTATACAACAGTTAGATCCGACCGAGTGAAAAATGCTAAAGCTAGCGAAAATCGAGGAGGAATATTAAGGAGCTGCAGCAGCTTCACGTCCATCAGCAGCGTTTGCTCACAACCGTTTTCAGGTAAAGTAACTTTGTTTATTCTAGAAGCTTTCAGGACTTACATGTTAACTTTAGATGGTTTCATGTATGTTTTAAGCTACAGAATGAACTTGTTAACTGTACACAACTCATTTCTACAGAGTATTATCATGTAGGTAATTAATATAAACCAAATGCATTATAAATGTTGAATGCAGTAGGATGTTTTCTAATGTAAATTGGACCTTAGAACTTATTTTGCATCAAATGGGGGTAAAATGCTTTAAAAAACAGGCTTTTTAATAAAATAGCATTAAAGTGTTTTCAATGTGCTTTTGTTTATTCAACTTAAGCCTAATAATGATTAGATCTGTCTTAAAAATGTAAATTCTGTGTAGTTTTCCCTGCTGCTGTTCTTTAAACTGAACAGAACCAGTGTACTGCAGGTTGTGTTTTGTTTTACATTTTTCTATAAAAAAACTCTTTTTTAATCTATTACAGGTCAGCATGCACTGTGCTGCACATCTGCCTCTGTGCTGGTGAAGTTGTGGGTCTGGAGGATGAGCGTGAGGAAGATGTGTGTGGAGGAGGTCAGTGGTGCTCTGTCCTGGAGGAGGTACCAGCAGACCACCACTACTGTTAACAGGCAAGTCATTCACAGAGATGTAACAGCCGTCATCTGAGCCAGCCCAGCAGTCCCTGTAGATGGACGATGGAGTGGACAGTGAGAGGAAGCGTCCCAAAGCTCTCTCTGCAGACCGTCCTGTACAGCGCCGGCGCTCCGCACACGCATACCACGCACAGCGTGTAGGGCACCACGCCAGGGAAGGGGCACCAAACGCAAGCTTATGAAAAAAATAATATATGTATGATAAAGACAGATTTCAATTAGAAGATGTGCAAAGCAAGTTAACAGCATGTTTACAGAGAGAAAACAATACAAAAAGGGAAGGAGATGGACCGTGTCCACTTTTCACTCTGTCCGGACCGGTTCTTGTATTGATGAAAATGTCTGGCTTTTCATCCAGGAGCAGGGATCGAATTATGGGGGAGCTGGATATCCTACACATTCAGGGGAGCTGGAAAAAAGTTTTCTAACTATATGACATCATTTATGGACTCTTTGGAGCAGAGAGCACAGACAGCGACATAGAGCTGCGTTGTTGCGCAGCGCTCCAGGCAGCTGCTTCCAGCGCACGGTCCATTCTCAAAGTGGCACAACCAAAATTAACACACGATCGTTCATGTCCGCTCATGTTCTCTACTTTCTGTCTTATTTGTGCCTGAAGCGCTCTACTACTGCGGAGCTCATCACCTGTGCTGCGGTGATTTCACCTCACTGACGCAGCATTGAAACGCGCACTCCGCTTTGCGGTCAGGAGATCCCTTTGATCTGCTCAAAAGTAACTGATGAGGTGAAAAAGTAAGAATCCAGGCAGCAGATTTTCTGGAGAATTAAGAGGAGATGCAGGAAGATGAGAGACAGAGAGGACAGGAAAACAGTTAAATAAAAACAAGAAAACAAAACAAAGTGTTGAAAAGTAAAATGTAGGTAGATTTATCTCCACACGTTTTTACCTGTATAAAACAATTAGTTACACACATGCAATATTTATACATCTGATACAATTCAGATCACCTTCAAAACTCAGTCACACACCCAGGGCCGTTTCAAGACATTTTGGGGGCCAAGGCAAAATGACCCCCCCCCCCCCACACACACACACACACACACGCACACTAAATATCAATCCTACTTTTTGGAAAATAATAAGCAGTTTGTGCATACAAGAGAATTTAAGAGAATTGAAGGCGAAGCGCTCGCACATACTGTGTCGTTGTGTTGTTTTTTCTGTATGTGTGTGTGTGTGTGTGTGTGTGTGGGGGGGGGGGGGGGGGCACCACGAAGCCTTTGTGCTTAGGGCACCAAAATAGCTAGCAACAGCCCTGGTCCTGTATGATGTTCCTCTGGCCAGAAACGTCCAGCCACGGGTCTGCTCCAGCCCTCCATCCACGTCTGGATCCTCCTGCAGCAGATCCAGCTGCACTGTTAAAGACTTCCTGCTCACGCAGTTTAAATAAATGATCCAGGAAGAGTCACTCAGGTTAATCCTGCTTTAACCGTACATAACTGGTCCATACTGGTTTTGATCTGTAAATAAGTTTAACCTATTATAAATAATCTTGTCTCCTTACCATCTTTTCATTTTCTGTTCATGTAACATGTTCAAAAACATCTGTAATAATAAAACTGGTGATAAAATCAATGACCAGAAAGAGTTATCAGTTAGTATTTGTTTTAATAAATGTGTTCAAATATCAAACAGCTAAATAACATTAACATGATGACAGTAGAAGGCCTCTCTCCCAGGATGACCAACAGGTAAAGCCTCTCCTGACCCTGGACACCTGCAGTCCTACAGAGAAAATCAGTGACCACAGGTGACAAAAAGGCAATAAACACATTTTTACATTTATCCACATGAGAAGATAAAAATTATATTCTTCACACAAACTTTTTACTTCATTATAACGTGTCAGCTGTGTAAATCCCTGAATGTAAAACTACTTTTCACAGAAGAACTTATGTGGTTGTGTGTGTAAACAGCTTCACTCTTCACCTCTAAGCTTAATAAAAACGCTTCCTTGCTCCGTTGTCCTTAAAACAAATGACAAGTTTAATTCGCCACACACACACACACACACACACACACACACACACACACACACACACACACACACACACACACACACACACACACACCCCAACGGGAATTACTGGGACCCGTGAAACAAACTCGTTTTGGCTGATTTCTGCCTAAAATGTAATAAAAAAACAAAAACAAATATACAAACGAAAAATGTCTATAAACAGAACCGCTTTCAGTTTAGTTTTCTACCGCTGTTGTTTTTTAACAAAGCATGCTGGGATCAAGCTAGTTTTCGGTGGGGCATGTTTTAGCCTTAAATTACATGAAAAAAACAATTTGCGGTATTAGATCTTATATAAAAAAACAAACCAAAAATGCCCAAACACGTATTTTATTTTTTTGACCGCAATTTTTTTTAAACTTACATTTTAAGCTGTACTGCTCTCCCGCTCCGTCCGCCATTGTTGTGAGTGTCGAGTCCAGCGGGCGGCGCGCAAAGCATGCTGGGATACCCTTGCTCCTGTGAGGATCCACCAGACCCATCCTCGAAATGTGGGCGGAGCGAGGACGCGTTTGAGGACGCGAGAATGAGGATTCTTGGAATTCGGACAGTACTCGTCGCTGCGCTGTGACGTCATCAACCTCAAAATGCGCTCTTACAAGCATCCTTCCTCTGGATTCGGACACACCCATTGTGACATCATAATGTACCATCTAACATCATAGCATACCTCTTAGCCAATAGCGATGGCAGATTTTAATTCGAATGCAGTGCTGAGTTTTTGCCTGACAGTTTTAGGCAGAATATTTTAATTTTAACTAAGATGCACTAAATTGCCGAATTATTGACTACACGTGTCTGCAGCACGATCAGACACTCATTTATATAGTTTAACAGCATTAAAATGTTGATTTGGCGTGAGTTGCTCTTTAAATAAATGAAAAAATCATAATCTGTTGTTGCTTATTGTTGTTATAAAAATAAAATGAGCAGCTAGAACGGTTGTATAAAAGCAATATCACACAAGAGGGAGTGTGTTGTTGCTGAATATCAGCACTGGTGTGATTCGGTCGTAGGAACGAGGCGGCAGGCAAGACAAAAAAGTCTGACATGTTGTGTAAAAACTGCTATTTTTAGCATATTTTTAGGGCCGACGTGTTGCTATTAGACGTACAGTGTGAGCAGTCAGGTCACATCCGAGAACTGGGTCATACAGTGTGAGCGCATGACTCATGAGATCTGCCCTGCGAGGAAGTCGTACAGTTTGAGCTGAAGCTGAGTGCTACAAGTGAAAAAGTCGCACAGTGTCCGCCCAGCTTTAGAGCCTAGAAGGCAGAGGGTAGCTGGGGTAGCTTTGGTTAGCTCAGTTAGCTCATAGCTACATCGTCTCAGAGTTTGTTAGATGTCCGTCATCTGTCCCCACCCTTAGTCCCGCTGTCAGCTCCATTTTTGTATTTTCCAGGAATGACGAGACGTGTGATGCGGCCAAGATGGCGGTGGTGGGAACCTCCCACTGGGCTTCAGTTCAGCTCTTCAGAAACCTACAGGTGACGGCGTAGAGGGTTTGTCTATTATTTCTACAGTCAAAACACAACATGCAACAGTTTAGCCTTCAATTTGTTGGAAGGCACATCAAAATAAGAGCATGCCAAAGTTTAACAAAACTATTGAATTTTTCAAATCAAAGTATGAATTTGGCCTCATTGGCCATGAAAGTGTAAATTTAGATGATTTTCTCGTGATTTCTTTGTGAATGGGAATCATTTTGGATGTATAAATCTGTGACCTAATCATCAAATCCAAAACGACACACTAAAAAGGTAGAAGTGAAAGACGAACTAAAATAAACAGAATAAAGGATTTAAAATGGCAGCATTACATATAAAAAGGCAAAGGGGGCAGTATTTGTCCACATAACGAATGAGGTGCATCGGAGTACATCACATAGGTGAGGACTAGAAATAAAAATATATGTGAGACCAAAATAAACTCATCAAAAACAAAAACTCAGTTAATCTTCTCTGCCTTCAGCTCTCCGTATCGATTCTAGCAGCAGTCTGGCTCTGATATCCTCGCTTGTTTCTTTGCCATTTCACGTAGACTGACTCCCACCGCAGCACTCGCACAACTCCCACTCACTTTTTTAGTTTTTCCCT